AGACTTTTATGTGAAGGACACATTGTGGTTACAATGAAAGTGAGTCAACGGAAATCAGTCGTGGCATACTGTCACCACAGTGAGGACACAGCCAGCAAAAAGTGCAGCCAAGCCACATATACTGGGCAACGTGAATACACTCAACTGACAGCTGCAAGCACTTAGTCAGCCTCCAAGAACAAAGCCTGGAAGGAAAAACTCTTCAGCCCAATTTGGCAATATGAGAAAAACGCAACAATGGCTTCCAATATTTTCAATAAGAAATCAGACATGTCTAGAACTGCACTTGTCAATGATCAGTTAACTCTGTGTTGATGTGTAACCTCAACAACACGCACGAGGACAAATGGATTCCTCCAAACAAGGGTAGATCTTCACGATAACTTTGGGATCGAGACAGATGTTTGACTCGTCTTTGTAGCTGCAATCAGCTGCACGAACTGAGAAAACCCATCAGTGAAACCTAGACTGTGTGAATGGAGCAGCTCTGTGACGTGACGACGACAGAGCAGAGATGGAAGACGAGGCAGCAGATGGGATGAGGTGTTATGGACCACTAACCACATGCACTTAAGGGTTACAGCAATTTGCTTCCAAACAGCTGCGAAATCACCGCTAACCTCCGGGAGTCTCTGTGAGTTTGTGACTCTTTGACCCATCTGTTCATCGCGGCCGCAACCGGCAGAAGAGAAAGCGTGGGAGCTTTTACTTTTTACTTCCCAACACACAGTGCCTCATGCCTGGACTCTGCGTGTGAGCCCCAGTGGCTGGGAGACGGGCCGAATGACAATTGACCGGCTGTCAACACTCATCTGCATTCGCATATCTTCCTGGCCCGACACATTTAGCTGGCAGCCAGCCATGGCCTTGACATATAAAGATGTACTCCGGTCAGACCTTTGGTTTTGCAGAGCTCCACCTTACTGCTGTATTTACTCATCTTTCCCACAAAACTGAGTGTAATTGAAGGGAATTGTTATTCTTGCCAGTAAAAAAAACGAGCACAAAATTGTCTGATTGCTTGTGGTTTAAAGGACGCCCGTAGCTGTGATTTGGTCACTTGGCTCAACTCGTCCTTCAAATCTGCAATCATTCAGCTGATGTAATGGGAGGCAAATGGAAACCATCATATCTCAGATGCCTCGCACAGACAAGTATAGTCTGCTATTGGATAGAGTTACACTTTCATCACACCTATTCAAACTCCTGCCCACTTATCACTGCCTGATTCAGAACAGTGTGTTAATCACGTAGAGAGGTTGTGTGCTTGCAACGGAAGTCTTTTTTTTTTTTTTTTTAAAGGGAAAGACCTATAGTAAAACTGTTCTGATTATTATTTTGAGTATAAATAATTAATTAAATGCCTATTTAATGCCAGATTCCCTCTCATGTTGTGTGCTAACGTCTGGGTGCACCCTGTTTAGCATTTCACAGCCACAGAGGCAGGCGGTGCCCGCCTGCTGCTTGCGGGGGTAAAAGGAACAAAGAGAGAAGGCTTCTAAACTATTTCTGCATATTCACCCAAACATGAATGAAATGAATGCTGATGTGCACTGACCACAATCCTCTGAATGCATAAACAGTCAACCATGAGCCTCCAAGTTCTCCATGTGAACTTAAAATGAAATAGGGAGGCACAGAAACTGTTGGTGGATCCAACATCTTATTATGAAACAGCCAATTATACGCCGCGGATCCACAACATTACGACCAACTTGCCTAACACTTTGTTGACGTATGGTACGAGTGCCATTCTCATAGTTCAAACATGCGAGATTAGGGACTCAGCAAGAGATCTGGAAGTGCCCCAAAGCATCTGCAGAGATTTTGTAAGCAGATCCCTTAAGTCCTTTAAGTTGCAAGTTGGAGGTGCCATGGATCAGTTGCTGGGTGTTTACTGCTGCTGACCATGAGCACAGGCCAGCGTGGTCCTTGTGAAAGTTGCTCACACCAGCTCATTTTTCCCGTCATATAAGAAGTCGTTTACAAGGGGCAACTATTTTCTGAGCAGCTGACATCACACTTCCAACGTTGTTTAGGAATAACCAAGATTGTTTTCTTAATCGGATTAATCAGATAAAGCTCTAGGAAACATTTGTATGAATGGCAAAGTGGACAACACTATTTTGAATAATTAAAAGATCAATGTTCCTCATCTGCATTATAGATTGGTGTGAAAGTAATTTCATCCCATCAGTGCCAAAGGCATTCTGAGACCTCTTTATCAGAGTTATTCAAGCAAAGAGTCAATAAAACACTGCAATTAGGCCTGTTCTTTTCAAATCCAAGGCAGTCTAATTGACTGTGTATTCAAGTAGAACAGAATTCCCTACAGCAAGTTTAATAACATTGATAAGCAGCATAATTCATAATCACACAAGGCTTGGAGCTCTGAAATGCAGAATGGTGCGTCTTACCGTACAGTTGGAAGAGTGGTATCTTCTTTAACATTTGGCTTACATGAATTTCAGGCTTTTGTGTTGAGTTTAATTTACTTCCCTCAAGTGTCTCTTTGAAACTGTTGATCAGGGGGCTCAACAGGAGTTTCATAATAACATCTTTATAAAGCTCCCACCACTTGGCTGTGGAGGGCTTGCAGAGATGAGCTGGGGATAATAACATGGCACAGCACATCAAACAGAACCTGGTCAAAAAGCAAAGCACTCAATGTCTCATAGGAGTGAATTTAATGGCCACTGGTTGCTCTGGGCTCTTGACCCTCTCCAAGAGGCTCCATGTTAGTCACTCTCCAGTGCTTTCCAATTGAAATCCAGCCATACTGGTAGTAGATGAGATTTCAACTGTCTACTCAAAGCCTGGATGACTGTACCACTGGCTGCAGCTGGTCATTACACTGATGGTGCTCAGCTGATAAAAGACAGTGAAAGTGAATGCTGAGTTAAGAGTAGAACTTTTCCCAGACATGGGACCCTTTGGTCACCCTGTCTGCTCAGCCATGTGAAGTGAAATGATTTACATTTTTAATATCCCAAAAGAACATCTTACTTTTCCCTCCAGTACATTCATTTATTACGGCTTTGAACCGTTTTAAACTTTTTTTCACCCTTTGAAACTTTGAATTGTTTGGCAAATTGAATTTTTCTAGACATTGACTTGATCTTTAATAGCCTATTTATTAACAGAAAACTTGATAACGGGCAAGTATTTGATCAATTTGACTCAAATATATGAAATGATCTTAATACTATTAAGATCAAAGTGTCTCAGTCTATACCCTCCACCTACCAACAATATTATACTTTAATTTTTTTTTTGCATATAAATGCCAAATTAAAAAAGACCCAAGAGCTGAGCACTCTTTTTCTAAGTCCTGGGACACAACTGATATGCCCTGGGGGCTGCCACCCAATCTAATTTAATATGCAGCTATATACAAAGTGTTTTGTTTAACAATGAATATCTAATCGAGCATGAAGGAAAATATTTCAGTAAAGTCATTTAAATCAGGCTTTGTTTACTGACAAACCATAGTTAAAAGAGCTCTTGTGGAAAACAAAACACCAGTGAACATTCTCCCCATTAATCATGTTATTAGTTACTATCATACTGCAATAGGAGAAAAGAAATAGCACAGAATAAAGCAGTGTGAAAAAGTTCTCATACATCAGTTTTGAAGAGGAGGAATGATTTGATCTGAGCATTGAGTCACTGACATTTTTTCTTCTATCCTGTGATGCCATCTAGTGCTGACAGATGATCCTGTTAAAGTGCTCTACTGCATCCACCATGTACACAATGACACCTACAAAAGAATTTTATTCCTGCATTTACAGTCAATAAAGCTTGTATTTTTTTTATACTAAGTGTGCTATAATTCAACACTTAAACAAAAGCAGGACATACAGACCATTATCAGTACTGTGGCAGCTTCATAACCCATGTGCCAAGTCACTTTGTTTTGTTTTTAAATTTGAAGAGCCACAGTAGACACTTGACATCACACATAAGAAAAATATAGTAACATTTTTCAGGATCTACAAAATGGCTTTGACCTTACTCATACAAGTTTTGCATATATAAAAGATTGGAAAATGTATAAATATGACTTGAGCTAAATATAAAAACACTTCGGACTATTGCACAAGAGCCAGGTGAGGACAGAAGTGGGGGAGTGATCGGTGTTGCAGCCATATGCACCTTCTAGGGTTTTCTGCGCCTATAATAATAAACAGACCCAATCAAACTCCAGTTTTCTCTGGAATAAAACAAAAATTGACGTGCTCAAATAGCTTGACAGCTTACTTTGTGATCCCATGATGCTCATAACCGGGTCCCATGTGGGATCCAGCCTTCATCTCCACAGCCACTGAGCACTGAAATACAAGTATCTTAATCATGAAACTGGAGAAGAATGCTATGTGAAAAGGACATTAGTGTTCATAAAACTACTACTGCGCAGTATTTTTTTTATTACTCCATTTTCAACATCAAAGTGAGCTGCCGCAGAGAGGATGTTCGTAACAATTGGGGTTTTTCCACTCGTACCTACTCAGCGCAGTTTGACTGTTCTCTACTCGTTTTTGGGGGGTTTGTTTACATTTCCATTTGGGGCTGATGCCTCCTGACATGTATTACTTTTGCCCCTACTTGGCCGGGGCTCTTAAAAGTTTGATGTTTCCAAGCCATGAAACATGATAAATATAGAGGAAACCAATCAGTTTTGTAATCTTACCCTGGTCTCCACGTCGGTCCAAGCTCCATCTGAATGATCTCCGTTGGCTTTGGCGCCTTCTGAAGATTTCCTCTTGCGACTTCATTTTTCATTTAACCAATTACAAAAGAAGAAATTACAAAATTCAAAATAAATAATGTTACAAAAAACACATCCATTTAAAAAGTTGACAAGCACATTTAAGAAAACAGATTTGTTTTTGAGCCTAAAATCTTTAAACTTTTTTAGAAAAGAAAGTTGAACTCCATGGATATCTTATTTACCTTGGGACTGTGGTGAGCTCCTGTCTCAGTGTTTCAATGTCAGTGAATTGAACAGATTGCCCTCCTCCTCTGGTTTGAATGACCTCCCCCTGAAATATGAAGAAAAAAATCATTAAGACCTTTAATTAGAGGGATTAAAAAAAAAAAATTAACATACCAAATGAGAAGGTATGAATAGTATTAGAAAACGTTTTCCTTATGATTTCTAACCAATATAAGAATTACTACAATGGCATAAATAAATCAGTTAGTTCCAGACACAGGTCACTTTTAGAGCAGCCATGTACACGCTGGTTCTCCAAAACACCCAAAGCCCCCTTGACCCGCTTAGGTATACTTTACCTTAATAAGCTTGGTCTGTATCTCTCCATCTGAGGCCACCTCCTGGTGCGTTAACACATATCTGTCACACTTCGACAGGGCCTTCTCATTGGGAGCAGACACCTGGATGGCATTGGGGATGACAGGCTGCAACACTGTGCCCAAGTCTAGGCTGGAGGTGGGCTTGTGGTCCACCCATTTCTCCCCACCAGCAGAGCGGGACCGACGATGCAGCGGCCGCACTGGTGTTGTTGTCTTTAGAGAGTCAGCAGAGGCATTTGAAATGAAGAAAAGCTCAGTGAAATCCCTTAGTCAAATTGTTATCCAAAAACATAAACAGATAACAATCTCAGTCAATTATTTCTCTACAACCAATTGCTGCTGCCTGCAGCTGACTCACTGACCCTGTAGCTTCTCTCAATTATGTCTAAAGCAAAGGTAGGGGAGGGGCATCTGGCTCCTTCATTAGCACCACAGATCTCGCCTCTCCTCTTGGGCCGACTGGCTAAAGAGCCCGCTGGAGACTGGACTCTTTTAGGTGTACAAGGGGTGTGGGGACCCTGTCTGTTGTCCTGAGCTGCCCGCTGCTCCCATGAAGAGATGGAGTTAGCCACTGACAGCGAGCTACTGCTGCTGGGGACGGGGCAGGCGGGCCTTGGGTTCATCTCAACTTCCTCAAATCTAGTGGCACTGACTGGCTGTGACCCTTGCACTGGACTGAAATGAGGAGAATCAACAGGGCTCTGGGGAGTAAAGTGGAAGTCTGAAGTTAGAGAAATAACATTAACACATCTCTTATAAAGTAAAAGAAAAGAGAAACGCCAAACAGTGTCACGTCAAACACAGAAACTCTGCTTTTCACTGCCGTAGATCATGAACAGCTTTCATTTCAACCGTTTACCTACATCACACGAATAACCGTTTTCTTCACAGGCTTTGGTGGATCAAGAATTGAGATGCAGAATCTTTGTCATGGTAAGTTTGCAGAACACGTAAAATGTAAAAGGCTCGTTTACAAAATGAAAGTAAAAGTTTTGCACTTTTGCAACCTTTTTTGTGTTAGCCATTACCTTTTAGTCATAAAAAGCCCTGAAATGCTTAGCTTCAAACTATTAGGAGATATTACGTACAGGATGAGGTGAGGGTGAAGCCGATCTTTTTGCTGGGGTGCGTTCCTCTCTGGAGGGGCGCTGAGATCTAGACTGAGGCTGAGGATGGGGCTGTGGCTGGGGCTGAGGTTGTGGCTGGGGCTGGCGCTGTGAAGGCTCGGGGCGAACAGGGGCCTTGCCCTCTGAAACGATGGCCTTGAGCTGCTTCAGCTTTTCGTCTTTAACCCAAAGCTTGTTTTGCATCTCGAGCTGCATTGCATTAACACGTCTGTCCTGTATAACAAGAGCATTATTGTTCACATGGTACAAACGCCAAATAATTCTTTCAGTTTAAAAGGCTTGAAAATGTCAAGAAAAAAAAGCATTCATTGTTGGCGTTTGTCTTTAACTCACACATTCTTTCTCCCATTTGTGCTGAGTATCTGAGACGGCGCCGTGCATTCGCTGCTCCATGCGTCTCTTCTCAGACAGCTCCCTATGCAGCCGCTGCTCTCTGGTTTCCAGCTCATGCTGCAGAGAGCGCTTGTCGTCCTCATAGATTTTAGTTGTTTTCTGCAAGATGTCGATCTGGAGCACAGTTGTATGAGAGTTAGAAACTGAACACATTTACAAACGAACACTATTAAGAGGAGTTTATCCCCCTCCCTTTGAACCTTGTGCTCCTGCATCTTGGTCCTTTTCTCCAAACGTTCAATTTCCGTCTTGTTGTTCTGGAGGATTTTGTCTTTCTCTACCAGCCTGCAGTTTTGCTCGTGAATCACATTGTCTTTGGAAATGAGGCTAGAGTCTAGATCCTGAAGCATAAACTTCATCATGTTGGCTGAAATAACACAAAGGAGAGACAACAATGAAGCAAAAATAAATAAACTAATAATGATAATAAAATTCAAACCATCTGAACTATCAAAGCAAATACAACAGATGTGAACAGGCACCTGCTTTGTTGTATTCCTCGATCATCGTTTGTCTGACCCTGTGTCTGTTCTGGAGTGCCTCGATCAACCGAGGTAAGGTGATGTCATCGTGTGGATCGGTCAGCTCAGAGGCCGGTAAAGGTGGCAGACTGAGCCCCAAGTTATTCATGACAGAGGGCATGTCTATAGAAACAGAACAATGCCTTAAAGCCATGTGTTTTATCGATCATTTCAAAAGGAGACTATATGCCAAAGTAAATTAAAGTATTGTATTCCCTGTATTATTCCAATGATAATTTGGTTAATGTGGATATATAGGGAGGCATTACCCTTGTCTATAGGTCCACCACGCTCTTCCAGTTTGCGAGAAATTTCCTCTTTAAATAGCTGGTTTCTATGACGACGACCCGGAGTGAAGCCACAGATGGGCCTGTCCACTGGACGGGCCACTTCCACCTCCTGGGTCATCTCTGCAAACCGCATCACCAGCTGCACAAACAGGTTTGGGGATTCAGAACAAAGAAAACTTGAAGGTTCAGTGCAAGACACAGTAATGATGTGGATCCACTTACCAGGGTCTCTTCATAGTCATCAGCCTTTGGATTGACACAAACCACCATTCTGACTTTTCCTTCGCCATCAAAGTAATTTTTAAACAAGTGGGTCACTTTGGAGTCTCTATAGGGGACCATCTAGAACAAAAAGCTTCAGTTACCTTGATGGCTCATCTGAATGCAAATAAAGTTCAACTTTAGATTGGCAAGACGTACCCTGTTAGTGCCACACATTTGGTTTTCTCTGAGTACTTCGATACATGTCCGCAGGTTCAGCAAAGACTGGTTAATGTTACCTACAAAGGGAAATGTTAGATTTCAGGGGACGCCCGGCAAGGAGGGAAATAAAATCCTGATCTTTGATAATTAACCTGCTTCGCGTATCCGAGTGCCTTCAGCTCCTGTCCTGCCTGTGCGCTCACTTCCTGCCAGGTCCACCAGGCACAGCTGGCTGACGCTCACCTGGTTTTTATCCTAAAAATAAAGAAGTTTAGACCTCATCCGATTTGCTATATGACAAACTGGACTACAGCATCTGCAACCAGAGGTTTTGTCTCTGCCAACCTGCAGAATGGTGTCACCGTCTGCATCCAGAGGAGCCTGAGCCAGTTTGATGATGAACACACTGTGTGAGCGACTGGACTCTCTGTTCAGCCGAGTGTTTGCAACCTTCCTTTTCTTTTGACCTGGAAAACAAAGAAAGAACTTAAAGAGAAAGAAGTGAGCAGATCCAAATCCCCTTTAAAAACAAGAAAAAAGTAGAAAAACTAGTTAATAATCCATCTGACTCATCTTCAACCTGCTCAGAGAGAAGATTAACTGAAGTCATTTCCTGAACAGAGCTGACCCAGAGGTCAGCAATTCCAGGTCAGTTGCATCTAAAGTCATCACAGCAGTGCAGTTTTAAAGCATGTTATAGTCCCCTAAAATTAATATTTAAAAAAAAACGCCACATTGAGAACTCACCTCTCCAGAATACTTGAAAAGCTTCCTCAGCAGACTTCACTTCAACCTCCATACAGCCAGCCACATACATGTTGTGATTCTGGTCCTCTCTAAGGGTTTTAGACTGAGGTGGCCTAGAATAATGAACAAATCAATAAAATTACTAAATGGTTGAACAAGTGGAACTGCATCATTTTCATGCGACAGACACAGATCATTGAATGCAGGTGGGGATGGGGTTTGGATGTAGCTCAATTTCAGCCACAGAAAATGGGGGAAATGATTCAGCATCATAAGAAGGTAAATATAAATTTACAGAGACTACAAGCAGAAAGGGTGGTTAATGATTTTAGAGGCTAAAACATGCATCAATAGTGGAGACATGCCCTTTTTAAGCATGAGCAGCTGTCAGGCTTTATGCGGGGAAAATGGGAATTTTACACATCTTGCATCTTTAATTCCAAGATTAAAACAAACTGAAGCTGTGTTGTTAAAAGCAATAACTCTAAGAAGTGACTTTTGAGGTAAATAAATGACTGAACCACTGCTTTAGCATTTGTTCTACAACAGGTTCAAATCTTTTTTTCTTTTAAAAATGGAAACGAGACAGTCAACTGTGTATCAGGATAACTGTTTTACAAGGAATAACTGCAGTGTATACGGTCCACAGGCAAGTTAGTTTAAAGAAATGTCTCCACAACTGATGAGCTGCATCTTAATTTACTCCAAACTGTGAATGTGTGTAATAGGGACAGCTCAGCTAACTCTGGCAGCTACTCTCATGTCTGAGGAGGAACATTCCCTGGTCACATACATGAACTCAGTATTCTGGCGCACAGGAGTGCCTCCACCATTCCACCTATTAAAAAACAAAACAAAAACAATTTTGTTCTCTAGCTACTCCAACTAAATGCTAAAAACCACAATAACAAACACTTAATGGCAGATCACTAAACTGTAAAACATGAAGCTAATGAATCATTTTATGTCCATGCCGAATCATGCTATTAAATGTGATTGAACTCACTTTGGCTTGATCGTTTCTTCTGGAGTTTCCTCCAAAAGATCATAGATGTAGTTGTTGTAGATTTCTATGTAGGAGACAAAGACACTGTAGCTGCTGTCGTCATCCACACCCTCTGCTTTATAAGCCTCCTCTGGCTTAATCATGTCAGCAATTTCAGGATCGATCTTTTGTCTGAATGTAGGAAATTACACATTATACATTTACATTAGGGGCAAAATGGTCAATATGGGATATTGCACATTTTGGCATTTTCAGCCTAAAGTTTGTCCAAGTTTAATTAACAGTGGGCATTTCAGAGAACACAGAATTGAACCATGTGCAAACGACGGGGTGTTTACCTGGAAGAGGGAGTCTTAGGAACACACACGTTGTTTTCTCGCCTTTGGCGCTCCAACAAAGCATCAACTTCACCCTGAACCTCCATCCCGTTTTTATCATCAGTCTTAAAAACCTTAACAAACAGAAGCAATTGAATGACTATTCAATCAAAAATATTAAATGATGCAGTGCAATAACAAATTTCACACACAACCCTCTTACATATCTTTTTGCCTGGTAAGGACCAATGCTGTTGAATATCATGTCCAGAGAACGCGGCAGAAGTCCACCCTGACCTGGACTACCTGTCATGGTAAAGGTCTTTCCACTTCCTGTCACCCCATAGGTAAACAGTAGGCCTGCAATAAAGAGCAATTCAACTGCTTATACTGAGCTCAAAACCACATTTCTGTCAGTGTCTGAGCTTGTTGTGGTGCTCAAATTCTCAGTGGGAAAATATGCTGCATAATTACAAGAAGGTAATTAACTGTGCCTCTAACATTGAAGCAAATCTGATTTATTTCTGGAAATGGTCTGAGATTTTACCGTTTTTTCCATGAATGAGGTCATCGACAAGTGGTTTGGCCACGTGCTCAAAGAGCTCAATCTGAGATACAGAGACTGCAAATACTTTTTTAAAGCTGTACTGTGTCTGTGAAGAAAAATTGATGAACATGTGTGAGAAATTGGGGAAGTTTTGTACAAAAGAATACCTTTTCTGGTAACAAGTTACATTTAAAAAAATTAATAAATAAATAAAAACTCAAATATACCTAATTTCCCTAGATTTAAACTTTACAGTTTTTGTGGATCTCATAAATAATATATATAATTTCTAGAAATATATAGCTTCAGCTTCCAATTGGTTGTACCTAAATTGCTCCCATGTAGCATTTACTATCTAACTATCCCCTAAACATACATAAAGAACTACCCACTGTCTTTGAAAAATTCAAAGAGATAAGCGTTGTTCGGTTAGCACCTGTTTTCTGAACATGGAGAATTGAATTGCTCATAGTATGTGATTCTTGAACATGCTAAACCTTCAATAAGAGAAGAGGACAAGACATAGTAATCCTGAACATTAAGTAATCCAAGCCAATATCAATCTATTTCGAGGAGCATGCTCATTCAGATTAAACACATTTCAACAATAAACCAGAACTGAAACTAACTTAAAATCTATAGACCCGTGTTTAAAATTGTCCAGTGTTCCTTCCCAAATCTTAATCTTCTTCTGCAATACCCTAGACTCCAGGGTACTCCTGGTTCTCTGTTTTGTACCTCTTTGTATTCTCCATTGCGGTTTATTTTGAAGCCCTCCGGAGCGTGCAGCTGGATGGTGGTGCTGCTTATCACCTCAATACAGCACTCCTCGTCATCCACACCCAGAGGCCGCACACGACAGTATACCTAAGGTTTTGGAAGAATCAAAATCCGCTCTTAACATATTCTGGTAATTCCACACCGCACAAAGTAAACATAGCTGCTTTAGCTATGTTAGCTAAGTAATCACACTCCTTTATCGAGCTGTTCCACTCACCCCAACCGGGTCTTTCTGGTTGTTTTGATGCCTTCTTGCAGGCGGCTTGCGAGGAGTTTTACATTTCCTGGAGAGAGAAAAAAAATCAATTCTATGCCCACCAGCACAAAAAAGACAGTTGTTTCTGATAGTCGCCGATTGGCCACGAGTAGGCCAGGGGCCAATCGGCTAAATATTCCCCAGCCAGGTTAGTTAAACCATCTATAACTTTGCGAACTCGTAACTCTGCATTTATCCTAATTACAGGAAATGTGGGCCACGTGTCCCAGTACACAAATGTAGCAAATAAAGTCAACTTACGCTGGTTTGCTCATGGTAGCGAGCAGCCAGTTCTGGCTTTACCGTTTCTGTTTAACTAATTTTGAATCTTCCCTCCGCCTCGAAAGTGGAGGACTTTTTCAAAACCAGCGCACGGAGCAGCCAATAAGATCTCACAACCACAAACACGTGTTTCCGCCTTCACTTCCGAGACCTTTATGGCAACCACAAAAAATCCGAAATATCTTCTGGTCACTGATAGAAGTAAACATCGATACAAAAATTGGATCTATATCAGAAACTAAGCAACCAAAAGTAAACAGCAACAAAGCGAAATGACTCATTTCTTCAATGACACAATGATTTTTATATCAGGACAGATGTTGTTGGAATTTAGTGTAATTTAGGTTCAAATTAATTTATTGTTGCTGTGGAGTCACTTCAGATTGTTGGTATGCTTCGCGCTTACCGCCATAAGAGCTTTTATTACTGTACTATTATAACTCTAAATGTGGTACATTTTTTAAAATCATTCTATGGAAAATTATCAAATATATACATCCCGTTGTGATGAGTTTACGTCACGCACTAGTTCTAATCGAACACCAAACGTGACGTATCTATTATCATAATTCATTGTAGGTAAACAGCGCCATCTACCGGCCACCAGTATCAGTACACACACATTACAAAACAGGCGTCTGCAGCCATTGCTGTCACGTGTGCTGCTCCGTGTTTGTGTACGAGAAGTTCCCGATGTTGAATTGCAGCATTTAACAGCTAGCGTCGCAGGTAAGCATCACGTATGACACTTATCAGCCCGGACAGATGTGTGGTGGTGGAATGAAATAAGTCATGTTCTGCTTTTTTGCACATTTGATAGAAGAAAATGAAAAGTAAGCCCGCCAAGTCAGAGGGAAATGGATCAAAGACTAAAGTCAAGAAAAGAGCTGCGGACGAATCTGGCCCTACTCTGTCAAAGAAACTGCGTGACAGAATGGGTGGAGAAGCATCCAAATCAGGTGTTCATTGCTGCCTGGACAGTCTTCGTGTATGGTCACTATACATGAGATGTTCTAGTCATGACACCTGAATGGGTTTGTGCTTCTTACAGGTCTTCCCCTCAAACCAGCAGGACTCCAAAAGAGAAATGGTCATATGAGCATCCTGCACTACATATACAGAAGTACTCTGGGGCAAAGCCTGCACACACAGATGAGACAGGTAAAGAGAAAATCGTAAAAGACAATGCAGCTGGTCTCTGTTTAGTGCACTTTTGTTCTGGAATAAAGTGTCTATGTATGAGGTGGAATTCATCCAAATTGGCTGTGATGTCATTTAAACCCACCTTTTCATGCTAGAACTTGCAACAAAGTGTATATGCTATCCTAAAGATAAAAAAAAACCAAAAGTCCTCAGGTTCCTGTAGTGTTCTTGCTGCCCATGTGTGGAAGAAATATTTACATTTATATCTGTCCATTAAAACTTGCTAAATAAGATTGCATATTTTCTCTCTTCCTTTTTAGTATAATTATGTCATTCATAAATCAAAGGGCTGCTGCAGTAAGTCTGTTTTTTCAGGCAGAGTTTAGACGTCTTTGTGCATGATGATCTTTGAGGTATCACCTGTTATAAACCATTCATTTTTCTCTCTAAGTCACTTACTGGGACAGATGGTGCTCGATCATGTTCCCTGTGACTGCATATATTTGTTTGTTCGCTGTCAGAACTGCTGTAGACTCAGATGTGGGCCGCAGTGCTTGGCTTCATGCAAGAAGTCGAGCTGACTGTACACATTTTTCATGTTCATTTCATTATGATGATAGTCGTGTTCAGGCATGACCGTGATCCTCATAGCTGTTGGCGTTCAGCACAGGATACGGCTTTGCAGAGCAGTGTGAAAGCACAAATCCACCGGTTGAACATTTGTGTGCTGTCTCTTCCAGTGTCTCCAGGAACCTTTCGTTCGCTCTCTGTCGTCGTATCATTTCCATGGTTCCAGCAGCCCCTTCGACCGCAGAATCACCTGTGTGGAGTGGCACCCCACTCATCCCACTACTCTTGCTGCAGCCTCCAAAGGTGGAGACATTTTTCTGTTGGACTTTGAGAAGCCCGCAAAGAAGAGTTTTATTCAAGGAGTGAGTACCTGGTACTTGTATGAGCAGTGACATGTACAGGAACCACTTGATAAGATATGCAGCCCTCTTAAGACTGAGGACGGTTGCATTTTTAGGCTGCAGCTGATTTCAGAGCCACGCGGCTTTGATGTGCCTGACAAACACACTGTTATTGACTTTCTGCGTAGATGGGAGCTGGAGACTCAGTAACAGACATGAAGTTTAACCAGTTAAATCCCACTCAGCTGTTCACCTCGTCTATGGGAGGTACGGCAACACTTCGAGATTTCAGTGGGACAACCCTTACAGTGTTTACCAGCACAGACACGCTGAAGTAAGACTCAGAGCCCCTTTTCTCAAAGAGTTCTCACTTTCTAGGCCTCTTCTTGCAACCGTCTAGCATCAGTCTTCTCATCAGGGGGGGATCATTCTAGTTTGAATAGTTGCATGACCTTGAGTGCTCATAATGACACTGTGATAGGCTTGCATTTATATTTATTTATACAGAATGGAGCTGGGGACTTTATTGGAGGGATGAAGTTTTGTCCCACGGACTTCTCCAGAGTGTATGCAGCCTCTGGCGAGGGCACACTCACCCTGCAGAGCTTTGAGGGCCATGCACCCACTCTACTGTCCAGAACTCAGGACTGTGGCCACGATCACCACAATGTTTGGTGAGAAATCTGAAAGAAGACTGATGCTCGACAATGACCACCTTGTTTTTGTAATGGCGATAAAAGTTTTTCTGTGTCAGCGTGATGATGCGTGTAAACTGAGCGATGCGTTGTCTTTCACAGTTTTTGGTATTGCTGTGTGGATGTGTCCGTGAGCCGGCAGATGCTTGTGACCGGAGACAACACAGGACAACTCTTGCTTCTGGGTTTGGATGGCCAGAAGGTGGGTCATTCAAGTGCAAAGAGTGGAATTAGTTGTTTGCTTTGTGTTGTCTTTGATCATCTTAACACATTTTGTATGGTCTGGTCCTTGAGTATTTGGACACTGACACAGTTTTCTTATAGTTGGCTCCTTAACACCACCGCAGTGTATTTATTAAACACTTTCTCCTGATATGCCAGTCAGAGAAGTAGTATTACGAAATCCCTGTTTTGTTTCACGCAAATGAAAAAAGAGCAGAATATCATATTAAGAAATACGAAAACAGCTCCGACATCACGTGTGACCACAAAGATAGATACAGAATGTGGTCCTTACGACAATGAGTCACATAACATTTTGGAGCTGCGCAGTAGTCATTGTGATGACATCAAATTTTCCAAAGACATTAGAGGCTATGCAAAATGGAGGGACATTGAATGATTGACTTAAAACGGATCGCCTGAACGCCTTTCCTCCAGTCTCTGTGATTCTCAATTTAAATTCCAATGTGGGAATGTGAAAAGTAGACACGACTGGGAAAACTCAGTTAATATCATTTGGAGTTCCTGGAAATTTATATCGCGATTTTCCTTAATGTTTCAGATTTTTAGCGATAAGTTGCACAAAGCTAAGGTCACCCATGCAGAGTTTAACCCCCGGTGTGACTGGCTGCTGGCCACGGCCTCGGTGGACCACACAGTGAAGCTTTGGGACCTGAGAAACATAAAAGACAAGAAAAGTTTCCTGCATGACATGCCCCATGACAGAGCTGTTAACTCAGGTATGAAAAACATTCTATTGCTCCTCTTCCACCACTGAAATGTTCTTTCTGTGAAAATCCCCTCTGTGCATACTCCATTAAAGGGTTAGTTTTTAGTTTCTCCTTCATTTTAACTATGGAAATCATCCAAGAATATATGATACTGTGGTTGTAAAAAATCAAAGAAGGCAAAAAATGAACGTATAGAGAGAAAATTCACAGCCATTTGGATTTGTAAGTTTGAAGGAAGCCTTTTAGAACTCGGTTGACTTTCCACTGTTGGTTTATAACTTCCTCACAACTCTACAGTCTTTCAGTATAAAAACTTTAAATAAAATAAACCATAATTTGTTTTTTACCTCCTTATTTTAAGCCCATTGGGTTGAGACAGCGTTGATTAGCTTTCCTAAATCTTGTTTGTTGTTTACCCGCAGCTTATTTTAACCCACTGGACTGCTCTAAACTGCTCACAACGGATCAGCATGACCAGATCCGTGTCTACGCGTCCGCTGACTGGTCCAAACCTCAGCATATCATCCAGCACCCTCACAGACAGTTTCAGCACCTCACGCCCATCAAGGTTTGTTTGCTATCCACCACAGTGAATATGCCCCTGTGAATCTTAGAGAAACGCCTCCTGACGGGTCCTGAATACAAGCAGCTATGAGGAAGTATTGCCAAAGCAAGTAGACAAAAGGAATGAAAACTGACATTATTGAGGGTCTTAAGTGAAAGAGTTTAATGAAAAGATATCAGATTCACAGACTACAACACTTATGTTGAAAGAGCATATGGGTATTGGCTGCTTCCAGGCACACACAGGATTGTTGCTTGACAAAATGTACCCTTGTTTTATTTAGTCTTTTACATAATTTTACATGTTTTTATGAGACCAAAAAGATTCAACGTCTGGGCTATTTCTGTGGATGGTTTGTGACAACTGAATATTTTTCTGTGCAGGCTACATGGCATCCAATGTATGACCTGATTGTGGCCGGACGATACCCTGATGACCGCATCTGCACCAGCGACAGGAGGACCATCGACATCTATGACTGCAACACCGCAGAGCTGGTGTTTCAGCTCTATGATTCCACGGCCTCAGGGATCAAATCAGTGAGCAGCATTCAAGCTAACGCAGATGTCTTACAACAGTCAGAACTGCATTTGTTAAGACAAAGAATTCTGTTTTTACAGATCAACAAATTCAGTCCGATGGGGAATGTGATTGCCTCTGGAATGGGTAAGCTCATCGGGGGCATGTTAACAGTTCTTTGAGAGAGCAGCCTGATTAAAGGCAGCCTTGTGCTCCCTCTTAGGTGTAACGCTGCTGGTTTGGGACCAGGATGAGTCATTACTCGGTGACTTGCACAAAACGCCCAAGGAAACCTCCGCCCCAGCAGATGGTGTGAGGGGGCAGCGGAGGAGTCGGCAGCAGGGCTCCAACCGGACCCGCAGGGGCCCGTCTGTGGACGCCAAGCTCAAGAAAAAACTAGCCTCTCTGGAAGAAACGGAGACCAAAACCAAGACTGGATCCACCAAACAAAAACAAGCACAGATGAAGAAGAAGAAATAAACTAAAGATCAGTCTTAAAATCTTTGTATATTTCATTGTTATTACTTGTATTTCTTACGTAAGGGACTTTTTGCATGTTTGAAAAGGGTTTTAGATTTTCCTGTACGAACCGATTTAAAACAGGGCTGCTGGTTACTTTCTTTCAGCTGTTTTTCTACTGTACAACAATAAATATATTCAATTAAATGTGAATATTGTCTTGGCAAATCTGTAACTACATGTGTGTTTATTGCTGGATGCAGCTGACCACTTGCACACACCCCTGGTTTACTAAGCATAGTTGAAGAGGAAACTGCCACGTAGGTTGTGGACGGTGACGTTTGCAAGCTGGAGCAGCACTCCACCCCAGGCCTCCCGCTCCTCTGTGCTCCTCTGAGCCAAAGCCTGGTGAGCCGAGTACACCATGCTCAGGACCACATTATCAAACTGGGCCTGAGTCAGCGGTGTCCTCTGATGTTCCTCCAGGGTGCTCACCATCAGTGCCGTGGAGCTCAGACTTTTTGGAATTCCGTCATTGATCTGAGACAGGAATTCCCGCCCCTTCCTCATTGATGCCAGCTCCTCATCCAGCAGAATTACATTATTATCCTGGTCTATGATCAGCCCATGCAGCAAAATCTGTAAAAAAAAAAAGAATATTTCTTTCTCTCCAAGGGAACAACATGATAATTGCTTGTAGACTTAAATTGGTGAATATGCTGGAAGTACCTCATACATCAGGTTAGCGTCAGATAGAGACCGGGCAGCTGATTCAGGGGTTTGACGTATACTTCCAGACACATCTGAGTAGAAGAAAATACCTGTACTGATCAGAACTTTTGATTTGGCACCACAGATAAACTAGCTGAGCTTCACTGCCCTTGAAATGAACAGCTATTTATATTATCTGCAAAGGAAGACTGCGCAGTACAAGCAGGTTCACAGTGTGACAACGTAAAAAAGACATCTGTTTTAATCATAGCCCTGTTGGCAATCCTGTTTTACTCACCCTGCAGCACTTGATCAAACCAAAGCCACAAAAAGATGTAAAGGCAGGCTTTCAAATATAACTTCATACTTCTCTTGGTTTGTATCCTCAGATATCACACATTGCTCACTTTCACTCTCTCTTAGACTTTTGTGGATTCGAAGCAGTGAAAACGTAGCTTGAATGCCACACATTTTTCCAGATTGGAAAGAGGGTCTAAAAGCCAGATGGCTTTGAGCAGAACTGGAAAGCTTTGCAGCCAGCAGAATTCACAGACGCATTTCCCCCCTTTTCTCTGCTATCTTCAAATTCAAACAATGAATGCAACAAAAGATAAATATAAATTAGCTTGTGAACATAACTACTTTTTGGATTGGTTTGTTTTGGTTAAGATCTCATCCATTGAAAAAAAAAAGACTTCATAAGATCAATATGGCTTAGCTTTGTTTTTGAATGCTTGATTTTGAATCCCTCAAGTTGTAATTGTAGAGCAACTTTCAAATTGTCTCTCTCAGAAAGACCCCAGCAGCAGCTCCCATTGGACACAGTCGTGAAGCCCGTAGTACCTCAGGCGACAAGCTATGTATATGAGCTTTTTAATGTGGGACGACATGAAGAAGAGCTGGGGAAAAAGTCTGAACCATCAAAAAAATGTTGTAACCTAACTTGTTGGAGAAACATTGTTGCATGCCTTTAAAACAATTCGACAACCAACGTCCAGTAAATTCAGATTAAATCAAAAGGAGGCTATTTGAAAAAATATGGTATGAAGTCAAGAAGGTTGACAACATCTATAAACAAAAAAAACTTTCAAAAAAATCTGCGAGGCTATTTATTAAAATATCTTCCAAAAAAATCTTCCAAAGAAGATCTTCCATCCATCCATTTTCTGTTCCACTTCTCTCAAAGGGGTTGTGGGGGGACTGGAGCCTATCCCAGTTAAACCTGGACAGGTTGCCAGAACATTGCAGGGCAAAGAGAAAACTACTGCAAAATAAATAATATTAATAATTATTCTTTTTTTTTTTCAAAGAAGAAGATATAAGACAATATAGCTGATTTAATACACTGGAAGCCAAGCGTTGGCCCTGCTGAGCAAAACTCGGCCACAGGGGGGCAGTGAAGGGTTGGTCCTTGTTTAATAGCTGCCCTCTGAAAACTTTATTTACATCCGGTGAACAGTTCAGCTGCCTCTGAATGTTGAAGTAGAAGGGATAAAGGTAACCACACCTACCTATTCGTCACCTATCCGTTAACGGTTTTACTCTCATTAAAATGCCTAATTGTAAAGATTTCCACTGTATCATTGGTGAATTTGCAGAGGAGGGGGTTGTGGGCAGCTAGCTGTTGTTGCTGCTAACGCTAGCTAATCATAACAGTGTAGCTAGCGTCTGCAGCCAACCCGCAGAACTCCTGTTTGCCTTTGTCAACGATTGTGTGCAGTTTGTCTTCTGTCATGTGTAGAAGAAGATACAATACCCCATTGAGTCATCGTGTTAAAAAGCGTCCTCATCACTTAATCACTGACTTGAATTCAGTGCGGTTTCCACTGGTAACTTAGTAGCATTGCTCAGGTTTGGGGCAGCTGCCCTGTGTTGTGTGTTAGATTTCAAGATAAGAAACAGTTATGAGTGAAATTAAACTCTCATGTTTATGGTTGTCAGAATGCATCAGTACAGAAGTGCGGGTCTTTTCTTCATGTAGGAGTTACACCACCTTTTGTAAGACAACAATATACTGGTGTCTTTGTGCATGCTTGATGATTATTAGTAATGCTGGTTTGGTTTTCCTCTGGAGAAGCAGCAGAGATGGAGTCCAGCGAGGAGGCTGGCCTCAGCGTCGGGGGCTCCGTGGGAGAGGAGAACTACTTCCTGGGCTACACATTCACTGACCGCTCTCATTCGAGCCGTGTGGTGAAGAGCATCATGGACCTGTGCTTGGAAGATGGCCTGTTTGCTGATGTCACCGTCACTGTGGACAGCAAAGAGTTTCAGCTGCACAGGTTGGTGCTCTCGGCACAGAGCAGTTTCTTTCGCTCCATGTTCACTTCCAACCTCAAAGAGTCGCACAACCGCGTTATTGAGCTGAAGGACGTGAGCGCCACAGTGTTTCAGCTGCTGGTAGACTACATCTACCATGGCACAATCAAACTGAGGGTTGAGGATCTGCAGGACACCTATGAAATGGCAGACATGTACCAGCTGACTGCTCTGTTTGAGGAATGCTCCCGCTTCCTGTCACGGACGGTGGAGGTTAAGAACTGCTTGCAGGTGATTTTTTTCTCTTTCTTCTCTTTTAAATTTTATAACTATCAGCTGCAACAGTGTGGATTTAGTAGAATGAGCACTTCTTGTTTTGTGCAGGTGATGTGGCTTGCAGACAGACATAGTGATCAGGAGCTGTATACAGCAGCAAAGCACTGTGCTAAAATCCACCTGGCTCAGCTGCATCAGACTGAGGAGTTTCTCAATCTGCCTCTCTGTCTGCTCCTGGACATCATCAAAGGTAAAACAGCTTTTCATCCTATATCCTTTAAGCCTAATTAATGTCAATTTCATAAATTGTTCTTTGTATTAGAAAGAGCTGTATAATAAAACAGAAAAAAGGTTAAGCAAAACACTATCATGCTCATAGAATAATCAAAGCACAATTTCCAAATTAAATTAAAATGACGCTGTGTTTGTTTCCAGATGGCGTTCCAACATCCCAAAATCCAACGGTGGCCATAGAGTCGTGGATAAACCACAACAAAGTTGAGAGGGAGGAATTTTCTTGCATTCTCCAAGAGAATCTTAAGGTATTGTTTTCTAATACAAGCAAGAGGTGGCTATGTTGGGGTTGACAAATGTGATTTTACATATTAAATGCATATTATTGGTTGTCAGGCCAACCGCTGACTACTATACATAGGTGGAAAAGTGAAGAAAAACACAAAACCGCATGTAAATGATAGACGTTTGTATTTGATTGCATTACATTTAAACTAAATCTATCAGGGAATTTAGTAGGAAAAAAATCTATATGTTGTGTAAAAAAGTTTGCAGCGGTCCCAGGTCTGATAACTCTTCTGGCTTGTTATGGGTTGAACCCCTGTGTGCTCCTTACATGCTTGTTGAGATTAAATGTCGTTTTCACGCCACCAGGAAATTGGCGAGAACGTCCACATTTACCTTATTGGTAAAGAGGAGACCAGGACTCACTCGCTTGCCGTGTCGCTGCACTGCGACGAGGACGACGCGATCAGCGTGAGTGGTCAGAACAGCTTATGCCATCAGATCACTGCGGCCTGTAAGCACGGCGGTGATCTGTACGTGGTGGGCGGGTCCATCCCCCGCCGCATGTGGAAATGCAACATGCACACCATGGACTGGGAGCGCTGCGCGCCGCTGCCCAGGGACCGCCTCCACCACACCATGGTGTCCGTCTCCTCTGAGGACGCCATCTACTCGCTTGGCGGCAAAACGTTGCAGGACACGCTCTCGAACGCCGTCATTTACTACACGGTGAAGGACAACAGGTGGACCGAGACCAGCCAGCTGGACACTGCTGTGTCCGGGGCAGCAGGCGTGAACCTGGGAGGCACAATCTACCTGCTCGGGGGGGAGGAGAATGACATGGACTTTTTCACCAAGCCGTCCCGTCTCATTCAGTGCTTTGACACCTCCTCCCAAAAGTGTCAGATCAAACCCTACATGCTGCCGTTCGCCGGCTGCATGCACGCTGCAGTCCACATGGATGTTATCTTCATTGTGGCAGAGGGAGACTCCCTGGTGTGTTACAACCCGCTGCTGGAAAGCTTCACCCGCCTGCGCTTCCCAGAGGTGTGGAGCTGCATCCCGTCTCTGTGGAAGGTAGCCAGCTGCAACGGCTGCATCTATGTGTTCAGAGACAAATGTAAGAAAGGTGACGCCAACACGCTAAAGTTTAACCCGGCCACATCTGTGGTCTCGGTCATCAGAGGTATAAAAATCCTCCTCACAAACTGGCAGTTTGTGTTGGCATAACCTGACCAATGAACAATGAAGCTGAGGTCCACTCACACAGCGATCACGGCAGCCTGCTGGGTCCAATCATAACTCCGCTCTTCTGGCTTTCACACTTCAGCCGCGTGTCTCCCTCTCCTGTTCCGTAGTGCATCTTTGTGGATCCCCTTAGTGCAGAAATACATTAGTATGTTGTGAACGGTGATAAATCAACCTGTTATTCCCTGCTCCGCTCATATGTGGACATGCATGAACAGCAAATCCCTCAGTACAGTATATCGTGATCACTATATGCGGATGTAGACTGACAATACTCATTTAAAAATGTTTGCTTTGTGAACAGAAACGTAACCGAGGATGTTTTCTAAAATGTTTCGATTTTTCACAATTTGTCCTACGATTTTTGTTTTTGTTTTTGTACACTGTGTACTTGTTCAAGTTTAGCCGTTACAAGAAATGTTCAATACATCACTGTATCTACATCCCTCACTGTTTTTTGTTTTGTCTCATCCTTTCACAAACAGCTCTGAGACTTTTGTTGTCCACAGGCTTTTAAACCTCCGATTTCTTCAGTTAAGCATGTAACTATGCTGCTGCATAGCTTTTAAAAAGTTCCCCGTCAAGAGCGTTTACCTTGAATAAGTAACACTTGTTACCAAATCTACTACAGAGACGCCAAACTTTGATCTCATTGATGTGCTGCTGGAGGCTGCGCAGCTGAAACCTAAGCTCAGGAACATGTCAGACTTTGTGAACTATTCTAAGCATCGGTTGCTGACGCTGAGATCGGGGGTGGGGGCTCATATGTGTCTCCATAAGGACTCCCATTAGGAACTTACAGCCACTACAAGTACAGTCTGATATGCGGTGTCTGTAATGTTGGAAATACAGCTGCATGTAATCCCCGTGTCACAGTTCCACCGCCTCACAGTCCAGACTCCGCTTCCATTCTTTTGGAGACCTTTGCTTTTCATCCTCCCAAATCTTTAGGCTGTAGAAGGTTTTTTCTCATGTGGTGTCATGAGTAATGTTTCGTGTGAAGGTAGATCGCTAGGAGCTCTAGTGACCTTGGGACTGTTTGGTGAGGGCAGAAAATAATTCCTGAAGGGACACATGGTCTAGAGTGACAAGGCCATCTGCGGTAGCGCCAGCAGGAGGACGTGGGGAGGGGGTTGGAAGTAGGGGTGCTGAGAATTCCTTTCGCTAGGGTGTGGAGGGAGTAGATATTCTGGTCTGTCACTTCTAGTGCTCAGCTGGGATATGTGTTTTCTTTTCTATTTTTCAAACGGAAATCCTACGGAGAACTGTTGAGCTCCTGATGGTGAGACGGGATCACTGCATGGTTGAACTGGGATGATATTTTCCGTACCCGGTAGCTCTCCATATAGCATTCGTTGAAAATGGTGGTTGTGTGTCGCTGCTCTGCTTCGGTGGATCTAGTTTCCTCTCCGTCCCAGCCCAGCCGGAGCTGATCGAGCGGGATCTCTTAGGCCGTTCTGGCACCCACCTCCCAGAGGATCATCTTCTAGGGATTTTCTTTGGAGTTGTACTGTGCATGGCAAGGATCTACTTTCTTGCTGCCCCTCTGAAACTGCATGTCCTAAACGAATGAATATTTTTATGAGGCGCCTTGTACCAGAGATGGGCCAGGACCAAACCAAGCAGCAGATAGAGAAGGGCCTGAGGCTGTATCAGTCCAATCAGACGGACAAAGCTCTGCATGTGTGGACAAAGGTGCTGGAGAAGACCTCAGATCCTGGTGGGAAGTTTCGCGTGCTGGGGTGCCTGATCACAGCTCACTCGGAGATGGGAAAGTACAAAGATATGCTGAAGGTAAGCCTCCAAAAGAACTTGGAACCAAGACATCACTTTGTAATGCTGTGTTCAAGAGGAAATCTATTCATAACACTAACTTAAAAATATACGACCAGTTCTCAGAAGGGAAATTCATGCTAAAAATGTGTTATTATTTTTTGTGATTGTGCAGTTCCGTGTGTTATGCAATCAGCAGTATGTGTGTGTACGTGCCTGTGAATCCAGTCGGTGTGTGTAACCGAATATCACAATGTCATCACATCTACTCAGGACTGGTACAGCCTCTGCTGTCGTAGCCTTTTTACATTTCCACAATGTCCCAGCCGTGGCTGAATGAAAAGAGGCCAGGGGTTACTGTCTTCCACTGGCAGCGATCTTGAGGAGCACGGGTTAATCTGTGGCTTCCACGCCATGCAGAGTAAATAAGTGTGCTGCAACCTAAGAATCAGGATGAGGTGTCGTGTTGACATAATCTTCCAGACTCATCACTAACGCCGCTTTAATGAAGACTTCATACAGAAGTGACCAAATGACCGAATGTGCTCTTTTGGATGTGCTGCACATCCTTCTGTCCATCCCGCCTGCCACGTGCACGCCGCTTTTATCCTCGTGTCCACTGCGTTTCTCTGCAGTACGCCCTCGACCAGATCGACACAGCCAGGGAAATGGAGGACCCGGACTACCTGACGGAGGGCTACCTGAACCTGGCGCGCAGCAACGAGAAGCTGTGCGACTACCAGAAGACCGTCTCCTACTGCAAGACCTGCTTGAATATGCAGGGTACCACGGTGAGCCTGCAGCTCAACGGCCAGGTGTGCCTGAGCATGGGCAACGCCTACCTGGGCCTCAGCGTTTTCCAGAAGGCGCTGGGCAGCTATGAGAAGGCCCTGCGCTACGCACACAACAACGACGACAAGATGCTGGAGTGCAGAGTCTGCTGCAGCCTGGGAAACATCTACGTCCAGCTGAAGGTAAACCCGTGAGCCTCTGTGGGTCTAATGATGTGGCTGGTTATTGTACTTGTGAAATAACATACTGCTATGTATGTTTACCGACTGATAGCTGGAGGACATGAGTGAAAACATGGTCTGTTGTAAGCTTGTGTAGTTGTTTGAAATGGGTGGAGCGAATCGCCTGGCTGAAGGGTTTGCGTTTTAACCCTGGTATGCAGGATTTGTAAATGTAATCCCCCCCACACCGCTTCCCAGGGACGACTGCTTTCAGAGGCATTGTAAGGAAGTGGCGTTTCAGTATGTCTTGCTTCAAAGTTAAACAGAAACACGCAGGTCAAGAAACGCACCCATTTTGGAACCAGTTTTCAAATACTGTCAGCCTTTGTTCAAGCAGGAAGATAATAGTTTACCTAAACGTAGATGTAGTCTGTACTGTCAGGAAAGTTATTGTCATTGTTCCCATCTGCCAACAGGACTACGAAAAGGCCTTATTCTTCCCCTGCAAGGCAGCCGAGCTCGTCAATGACTACGGCAAAAGTTGGAGTCTCAAGTATCGAGCCATGAGCCAGTACCACATGTCTGTGGCCTACAGGAAACTGGAGCGCCTGCCCGATGCCATGGAGTGCTGCGAGGTTGCTTTTGTTTGTTTTTTAAGGGTCACAGCATTGCTCTCCTCTGGAACACCTAACAGGAGTCTGTGAATCTGGCAGTTTTAGTGTCCTTGCCTGCCGGCTGAAGCCTTCGGCCGCCCGGCTGCAGATCCAGAAGCTGCTCAGCTGCTGACAGGTGCCAGCGCCAGTTGTTGTGTCGAACAAGGCCTAAGACCTCGACAAAAATATGCTCACAGAGGCGCTGGTTTAAAGTGATAATGAAGAGGGCGGCTTAAGTCTTCACCCTGTTCTAATTATGTACCCAGGGTGAAAAATAACTTGATGTCATTGCCTTGGAGTGTAAAAGCATAGAAACAAGAGAGCAGGATGCATTTCAGATTTATTACATTTGCCAAACGTATTTAGCCAAACAGATTACACATCCCCTCATATTTAGAATACCAGAGTACAAGAGGAGTTCGAAGGGTCACAGCTGGCATTCCCCACTGCCTCTCACTTTGAACATTTACTGATTTGCAAAGTAAAAAATAAAAACGGCCGAATGCATCAGTGTGGCAGTTTAAAGAGACACAGCCGGTGGTGAAGGTGCCCGGTGCCTCCGCCTTAACTTCTTCTGTCTTGTTCTCTTACAGGAATCTATGAAGATTGCTCTGCAGCATGGAGACCGGCCTCTACAGGCTCTGTGCTTACTAAACTTTGCAGACATTCACCGCTGCAGGCATGACGCTGATGTAAGGCTGCAGCCGCAGTATTTCTGATACCTACTCCAAAGATAGCCATTCACATGAGAACAAGTGTCTGCTTTTAAAGTTTAAAGCAATTCTCTCCTTCCATTCAGAAAGCCCTCCCTCGTTATGATTCCGCTCTGGGAATTATGACTGAGATAGGAAACCGTCTTGGACAAGCTCACGTCTATCTGGGAGTTGCAAAGTGTTGGCTTCTTCAGAAAGAGTTTGACAAGGTCCAGATCATAAGAAAAACATCTGAAATGAACACAATAGTTGTAACAGATCTGATGAGAAGGCCTCTCCGTAGTAACAGGCATCTCTTTACTCCTCAGGCTCTTGAATCCTTACAGCGAGCTCAGGAACTAGCGGATGCAATGGGAAATAAGGTAAGCGAAGCAACAACAGAGCTGTGAAATGGTTATCCAGCACACAATTCAAGCGGTGTATTTCCTGTGTGTAAGCTGTGCACGCTGAAGGTCCACTGCCTGAGCGAAGGCATCTACCGGAGCCGCGAGCAGCAGGAGGAGCTCCGGGAGCAGGTGGTGAAGTTCCTGCAGTGCGTGGAGGAGCTGGAGCTCTACTGCGGCATGTGTGGAGAGTCCATCGGGGACAGGGACCAAAAGCTGCAGGCGCTGCCCTGTTCCCACATTTTCCACCTGAAGTAAGTTTTCATTCCCGCTCCTGCTGCGAGTTGCATTACATTTAAATAACAACACTAGCTGACTGTGAACGATCTCACCTATAGCTAATGGAGAAGTTGTGGAGAAGGATGACTACTGCAAGGGTTTGTAAAACCCGCCCTCATTTGAACCGTGTTTCCAGGTGCCTGCAGACGAACGGGACAAAGGGATGCCCAAAGTGTTTCAAGTCCTCCATGAAGCCTGGATTTGTCTGATGGCGAGGCTGTCTGTATGCGTTGGATCTGCAGACGCAGCTCGATGCGTCGGAGGCTGCGGACTGATGGGAGAGGCAGGCGCCTCGGGACGTGCTGAAGATGTTTAAGGAGCAACAAACCGCTGCTCCGCACGGACGATGTCCAGCTGAACCAAGAGTGTCTGAGAATGAGGCTCAGAGCACTCAGAACAAGACATCCGTCTCATTTAGACATCGGTGTGACACTGACATGAGCAACTGTACTATTAACAGTGTTGCATTTCAAGGTAAACTGAAGAACCTACACTGTCTCCGATGACTGGCCATATGTTGCAGTATTTAAATAGAATACGGAGCATCTAACACAGCATTTATAGCTTAGTGTATTTGGATACTTTGTGTTTGAAAAAAAAACTTTTCAGAAACAATTCAGCGATAGCTCGGCAATCCTAGTCACTTTTCTTTTTACGCTACATCCCATTCTTTAGCTGATATATATTTATTGTTGTATTCTTGTACATACTATTCTCATGTTTGACCTATTTCAGATGTTTTGTAAAATCCTAAAACTAAACTAAAATCTCTTAACCGTTCAAAAGCTATGTCTTTACAAAACAGATACATGCAGCTGTTTTTATTTGTTGTTTTTTTGTTTCCTTATTCACAGAGATTAAGGAGCAGGATCGACACACATTGTGTTCATATAAATTCCTTTACTTGTAATATCTGGGAATGTTTTACTCTTAACTCTGACATTAACAATACGTTGCATGCAAGAATAAGTATAGTTGGAAAGGAAATCATTGACCAAGCACTCAGTTTCACAGCTTTGACGGGGAGATGCACTCACATTCTACAGGCATTGCTCTTGTCTAGTGACTTTCTCCTTGCAAAGGCATTGATATTTTTCATAGGATTTTTGATGAACTCGGAACACGTATGAGTTATTGTTTCAGTGAGTGGCTGCATGTTTCATTTACAATCAGCAATATACAGTTAGATCAGTGTATAAAGACGGGCATTTGCCTATTTATTTATTTCTAAGTTGTTTATTATGGTATTTCTTAATAGTCGGTGAGTTTTACCATTTATATTCCAAAAAGAATTATACACTTTGGACTTTTTTTGAGCTTTGGAAGGAGAACGCGACATTAATCAGAATCATTTTAGCTACTTAATAATAATGATAATAATAATCTTTTTTAAAATGAGTTTATTTGCATTATGTGTTCCTTAATCTGGACATTTCTTTACAATATTTGGTTTGAAGATTGTGCTTGTACTGTGTTAAAGTACTCTGACGTTGATGGCAGATGCTGACATGCACGATTACAAGGAGAAAAGAGGATATGTACTTTTTGCTGCGCCAACAAAATGGTTAACAAAAATAATATGGGCCGCCTTGAGGAGCACTCACAATACTGTCGCTTTTTCTTTCTCCCTCCAAACAAAATCTGAGAGCAGCACGAGAAGGAAAACACGGACACAGCTGCATTTACTGCACGAGCACTTGACCTCACCCCTGAATCGGGTTGAGGTCTCTGCATCCAGAATAATGATGATTCACCGTGTGTTTACCTGCATAGACGTAGATTTTATTTACAGTTCCTTTCTCGGTTCTAGGGCATGAAGAATTTTGCCAACCGCATCTCTAACAGTTGAACTACCTCTTTTATCTCTCTCTCCAAGTTTTGACAATAATTGTAGTGATACCATACCATTCAAATGGCTGTAGATTTATGTTTTTCTAGTCATAATTTGATTTGGTGTCAGACTCAGTGCATTGTTAATTTATTTATGCGTAAGTCAAACCTTATTACTGACTCATATGGAAACATTTCATATTGTAAAATAAAGAGCACCAGAACTGAACTGTATTCTGTTGATTGAAAGTGAAAGGACTTGCATGCATCAGTATGCTTAACCTGCCTTACTTGTTGTTCAGTCAATGCCAGTAATCTGACATGTACCTCGCCCAGTCACCACTCCTTATTCACACAGAGGACGTTCTCCCGTGGTGTTACATTACCGAGACTCTTCAACCTGATGGCTGTAACTTTTTACACCACCGAGAAGGACCTACTTTGTCCTAAATGCTCAGACATTTATTGCTTTCCTGTTATTTTAATGTGTGGCCACAATGTTTGCAAAGTTTGTTTAAACAAATTCTGGGAATGGAAAGGATGTCGAGAATGTCCTGTGTGTGGCGTTCCGTCTGCCACTCGGAGGCCTCCTATCAATTTGCCACTAAAATTAGCGGTGGACGAGTATCAAGAAAGAAGGACTGGCAGGAATAATGGAGACTGTTTTCATCATAATGAGAAGCTGAAGATTTTTTGCAAAAATGATGAGGAGCCCATCTGCTTTGTCTGCCAAGTTTCCAAACAGCATAAAGTGCATGAGTGCTGCCCAGTAGAGGAGGCAGCCATAGAAAAAAAGGTAAGCTAAAAATGACTATTCTTGCAAAGGTTTGTCCTAAAAGTGATAGAACATTGTGAAATATTCAAGCTGTAAACCTATTCTAATTATAACCTGATTGGGAAGCGGCCTTGTGGTGAGATTTTTTTAACATGCTCGCAAATTAATGTGTCCACACCAAAAAGCTGGATGAGGGGGTTTGAGAATCTGTGCCTATGCTTTTATTCTGCAAAAGGGTCCGAGATCAGAAAATGCATATAAAGGTGAAAGCCATTTTTTAGGATACGTACCCTCTTAAGGGTTAGAAACTATTCAAGAATTAAGCTTTAGTTTTTTCTTTCAGAGTGAAATTTCAGCCGCGCTGGAATCCTTGAAGAAAAACCTTATTTTACTGAACAAGACAAAGAAGCAATGGGAGGCAACACAAATCTATATACGGGTAAAGGTTTTGGACTTCTTATTCGTCTTCCTTGTCCGCATTGACTATTCAGTGACAAATGAATATGACATGTTGAATTTTCTTCAGGTCGAGGTAGAAAAACCTCCTCCTCTTGTGACTCATACAATTGTTTTCTTTGTCATTCCTCAACAACACAGACCCAAAGCTCTCAGTGTGAGACGGCAATAAAGGAGGAGTTTCAAAAGCTTCACCAGTTCCTCTGGGAGGAGGAAAGCGCCAGGCTGAAGCTGCTGAAACAGGAAGAAAACACCAAGATCTCGCTCCTGGGCAAGAAGATTGAAAGCATAGAAGAGCAGATCAAAAGTCTCTCCTCCACCATCAGCAACACGGAAACAGCACTCAGAGCCATAGACTTGCCATTTTTACAGGTACACTTGCATCAGTATCCAAGGACTGTGTTTAATTTAATTTCTTTTCTACAGAACTACAATTCTATTTCAGTTGAAATTTTCAGTTTTCTTACTAAGATCAGAATCCTCTCTGATAGGGGAGGCAGCTTATGACGCAGACATACCGGATAAACAAACGTCATCATCCTAATGCCACCATTACCATGTTGCTTGTGAACTTTCAGAATTACTTTATTGGAAATACAGAGATCAAAGAAAGAGTGAATAAATCTGTAATGACAGATTTTGAGTGATCACTAAGGGGTGAAAAATCTGTTAAGCCTAGATGTTCTAGTTAGCTTGATAATGTTAACATGGTTATAAAATGACCGGTGAACACAACAACCATATCTAGTTTGGATCCCATATTGAAAATGAATCCCCGAAAACAGCTAAAGGTATCATTTGAAGTGTTCCTAAATGTCCTAAAGTTTGGAGTTTGATGATTTGGGGGAGCCCAAAAGGAGAGGGTGTTTTTTGGGAGATTACACTTCTAAAGTTTTTGTGGATGTACCAAAATAATAGATGACAAGTTGATTTGCGGCCTTTAGATGTTTGACAGCCTGACGTTCAGGCACAAAAATCCAAAGCACAGTTGGAATCTTTTTAGCTATACTAAGAATGTTGCTCGACTTTAATCCAGTAAAATCACCTTCGAGTATTTTAACAGGAAGAGCAAAACAACCCAACAACTAACAGAAGAACAGCCACTATTATGTCAGTTTGTGTATCAATGGGAGTTTTCTTCATGTATAACTGCTCTGTATCCACAGCTTGGGTGATGTTTTTTTCCATGCAAAATTTCACTAATAAAACATGTTTTTTCTTTTAAACCAAAGGACTTCAAGCAGACAAAGAAAATGTACGTATCACAATTTTTCTAAAATCAACACTGTTTGCATTAGACTGTGTTGTAATGACGTCAACCCGTTCCAGGGTCAAATGCACTTTCCGAGAGCCAGAGTGTATCAGAGATATTCTGATCAATTCTGCACAGCATCTGGGATTACTGAAGTTTGGCGTTTGGAGGAAGATGGCAAACATCCTCACACATGGTGAGTTAGCATGTGTAGACAGCTGCCTGCAAATTAACAGCAATACCTGGATAACATTCTCTTTGACGAATGTTTAACTATTTGTTCCAGTTCCCGTCGTTTTCGATCCCAACACGGCCCAGTCCAACCTAAAGCTCTCCCATGAGCTGACCTGTGTGCAGTACAGCTGTAAGCAGCAGCTGCCAGACAACCCGGAACGCTGCACCAGCAACGTGTGTGTGCTGGGAGCTGAAGGCTTCAAGTCTGGGAAACACAGTTGGACGGTAGATCTGGGGCAGGGGAAAGACTGGCACATCGGAGTGGCCCGCGAGTCCGTCCAGAGAAAAAGCACCGTTTTCCTCAACCCGGCAGAGGGGTTTTGGGTGATCGGCCTGCGGGAGGGAAACTCCCTCTGGGCTCAGACCTCACCTTCCACCAGACTCCCAGTGAAGCACAGGCTGGAAAGGATCACTATAGAGCTGGACTACGACCGGGGGAAGGTGGTCTTCACCAACGCCGCAGATTCCACTGTGATCTACACGTTCAAAGACAGATTTCAGGAGAGGATTTTCCCCTACTTCTCCCCTGGAGTGTACAAAGACTGGAAAAACGCCAGCCCGCTAACTATCTGCCCTCAGACGATAAAGGTGGATGTAGAGTAGAGTCGTGCAACTGTTTGTATGACTGTGAGCTGGAGCCATCGAGGCCCACAAAAAAACAGGCTGCATGTTGTGGTTGTAGAGAATATAATCTGTTATATTGAAAATCTCCAAAATTTTATACAGATCACCAGAGCATCAGAACAAAGTATTGAATTACTTTAAATCAAAGTAGATTTGGGGATATTAACTGTCCTTGTCCTTGTTCTTCGGTTTCCTTTGTGATGCCATATCTTTCAGTTTGGAGTCAAGTCTTCTTTGTAGATGAGCTTTCTTATTGGGGTCCATGGACTTGTCTCTCGTTCCACTCCCGGCATAAAGAACACCCTCTTTACTTATTCTCATCCGAGCATGCGACTTGGCCTTGTCTCCACATCCATGAACCTAAAAAGTTGAAATGACACGCCAATCAGAACACATCTGAAATCAGACCGACTGCTGATGGGGCGATCTGCCTCCTACCTCTGGTATGTGATGGCTGAGACAGTACTGTCTGTTGCAGAACAAGCAAAGTTGTCCAAGTGTTAGCACCGACGCTTTACACTTGACAAAACTACACACACTTTCGGCCTTCACGACGGCGGTGATGAGAGTGTCAAAGTCATCTTCCGGAGCGGCGGCGGCGGCGATGTCGCAGGCGCCCGCCTTCGTTTTGTTTTTTCCTGGGAGTGAAACGTTAAATGTTAGCAAATGTTTAAGAAACCACTTCTCCCAGAGGTTTTGATACAAACCTTTGGGCTTCTTTGTCAGCTGCGTCTGAGGTTGAACAACATTCTGGGGCTTAATTTTTTTGGCGATTTCCTCCTTTTTCTTCTGCTCCCTCTTCTTTCTCTCCAAATGTAAACTTTTAAGGTCCAGAGAAGGTTGACATGATGGCGGGTTTGGCTCAGGTGGGGCCACTTCCTCTTCCTGGGTGTCTTCTTGTGTAGGCTCCAGAGTTGGAGCTAATTTCTGGGGCCTGGAGATGGTGATACATCTGTTGCTGCCCTCCCCTTTGCTCTCATGAATGAGGCCCAGCTCCTCACCCACCTGGTGGACCAGCAGGCGGTCATGGGAGTTAAACGATGGCGGGAACTGTAGCTCTTTCTGATTTACGTCCTTCATAAAGTTCTCCACCTGCTCTCTGATCTCAGCGTATCTGTTCTTGTTCTGCTCTCGCTCTGTCGGTGCCGCCGTGGGCCCGTGTGAACCTGCAGTGTTTTTCTTCCTGTTGTCACCAGTGGGTGTCTTCTGCCCCTCTTTTGCCTTAGTGGAAAGTGGACCTCTGGCCTTGTCTTTGGTTGATGTGGAGGTGCTGGATGTGATCTTTGTGTCTTTGTGGTCGCGGGTGTAGTTCTCTGGCACGATATCTGGGAGGTATTCGAATGCAGTCCGGACCTCTCCAAATTCTGTCATGTGACTGACCAGGGATTTCAGGAAAGCGTGATTATTGACAGTTTGTGTGTCACACACCACAGCAATGTGGCGTCTTGCACGCGTAACGGCAACATTAATCCTTCTGTCCTCTGCCAGAAAGCCGACCTCGCCTGGAAGGAAGACATTTATGAAACAAGTTCAGAAAATACAGCAAGTTAATGTTGTGACTCAATCATCAGTGTCAGACCAGCAAATGACCTTTTCTGTTGGACCGAACCAAAGACAACACAACGGCCTCTTTCTCTCTGCCCTGAAATCCATCCACCGACTTAATCTCCAGGTTTGGATGACGCGCAGAAAGTTTCTTACGCAGAAGATCAACCTTTATGAAAAGAAAAGTTAGAGCTTAATCATTCAACATTCTAAGAGACTCAGTTATTTAAGCAATTTGGAAGATGATGATATGCAAAATGTGCAGCATATTTGATGTTCTCCTTCTCCAATTTAGCATGAAAACGGACAGCAGGAATGTTGTAACGGACTGTAAAAATATGCCTCAGTAAGAAAAGATTATAATGATTTAATTAGTCAGATTTAGAAAGATGTTCTTAAATTCTATTGTGCTATCTCTGCAGTATCATTTGAGGCAGGGTTGTAAGTCTCAAGTATTTTGTGGCAAAAAAAAGTGCTGCATGTACTGTGTGAATATTTAACTATGTCGGGAATTTTATCAGCACTTTGAGAGATCCATAAGATTAAAGAACTGCTCTATTAATGCAATCAATTCACTGTTTCAATTGACCAACTGGGATTTATGTTTCACAGTGTTGAATTTATTTTTTAATTTGAATTTGTCTCCCTTTTCTTTTAAGTGTTTCCCAAGACATATTCTTTTTTTTTTTTTGTGGGCTGAAGCATTAATCCTGGACTTGCCTGTAGATTGTACGGAGCGATGACAGCAATGTCTTTTGCTTTAACACCGGCTTCAGTCAAGGCTTTAATGTGCATTTCCACGATGTCAACCTCACCTGAGGAGAAGGCAAACACAGTTTAACATCCCACCGACCAGCCACTTCAGTTTTTTTTTCTTTAGAGAATAAAGCTGTCCAAACCTTGGTTGCCTTTGGACTGCTCGTCAGTGACCTCCATTTCGCTCAGGCCACATCCTGCAGTGTCGATCAGGAGGAGTGGAGTGCTCGTCTCTTCTACACTGCTGACGCCTGCTAGATCTCTGTTGAACATTGTAAAAAAGCTGATTCGTATAAAGCCTGTTCCCACAGTAAAACGCTCGGATGAGATATTTTTGATGACTTTGAGGATGCTCACTTTAATAAGTGTCCTTCCACTGAACTGTGAGCAGTTAATTTTCCTTGGTACATTTCTTTGGAGGCCCAGTCCATGATGGCATTATTCATGCGGTACTGGACTGTTAGCATACGGACCACTGAGTCTCCATACATCTGGATGAGTCTTTCCATGAGACTCAGAGACAAGCCTTTTGATGCAGCGCTGATTTTAAGGACAAATGAAAACATTTTATCTTTTAAATCATCCCTCATATATAGACAATAACAATTATGTGTGTTTGTACAAAGAGAAAATGCACAATTCTGTATGCTGCACAAAACATGACAACTTCATACTTTTGTGATTTGATGGTAGGTGGTAACTGCTTGTAGTCTCCAGCCAAAATGTATTTGCGTGCTTTGAGCAGGGCGATCCAGCAGCTGCTCTCCAGGGCCTGAGCACACTCATCTATCACCACCCAATCAAAATGCTCTGCTGGCAGGAATTTCAGAGGCCCGTCATCACAAGCACCTGCAGAAACAGACAAGTGCTCACTGATTGCCTTTCATCATCATCTGTGCAGCGGCTCTGAGGCTTTTTGTTCCCCTTACTAACCAGTATTGGTCGACATCACAACATCAGCACTCTTTAGGATCTGGGTGATGGCTGTTGCCTCCCTATTTTTCAGCTCTTTTCTCAGCTCGCCAATTTCTCGTTTAAAGTTTGACCGCTCTCCTTTGTCCCGCATCTTCCTCATCCCCATCTTGAAAGAAAGCCAGTTGTTTGAGACAGCTCTGGAACAAAAGTCTAGACGGAAGATATACTGAAATACTCACAAATGCTTTGTCAATGTCATTTCGAATGTCAGCGATGATGTTGGCATTGTCGCTCTGAGCGAGGATGGCATCTAGAGAGTGCTTCTGGATAGACTCCAGCAGTCTGGCAGGGTGACCCAATCTCAGGACCTTTGCCTTGCACCGGGCTAACCTTTCCACTAAATTATCCACAGCCACGTTTGACGGAGCACAGCAGAGGACCTGCAAAGTCCCCACAGGCCAGTTATCAGAATGATCAAAGCCAGATGTACTCTAATATCTCAAAATGAAGTAGACCTTTGCACCTTTTGACCTTGCTTGACAGCTTGCAGGATGATTTCCACCACAGTGGTGGTTTTTCCTGTACCTGGAGGTCCATGAACCACAGCCAGTTCTCTCTGAGACAGAGCAAAGATCACAGCCTCTCTTTGGGAATCATCCAAATTTGAGTTAAAGAATTTAACCTCATCTGATGAAACAAAACAGAAGCAAACAGAGTTGATATATATTCTATTGCATGTGTCCAGATAGAAAACCATTCTATTAGAAAATGCTTATTGTTAAATATCTCCTCACTTGGCTGTGTATGGGAAGATGGTTGTGTATCCCCAAATAGAACATTTATCAGATTAGCAGCTGGTCCATTGCTGTATCCATTTAATACATTCAAGGCACTGCAAGCAGAAAAAAGCAGGGTTAATGCTAAAAATAATACATTTTCTGTGACATTCCATATCATGGATGCTACTTACCGTTTCATTCTTTTGTAGGTGACATCATTGGCAAGTTTCAGGATGTTGTAAAGAGCATCTGCATCAAGACCGATACCATCCTTTAAATCGTCAATAGCCACACTTACAGATGCTTGGGTAACTTTTGTTACTATCCCTGTGCAGATCTGTGAGGCTGCAGTGCACCCTGAGATGTCATACAAGCCAACTATATCACCTGGAATTAAACGCACACACATTACAGGGGGTGAAAGACAAAACCAAAACCCCATTCATAATGATGTTTAGCCTTCCATCTCACCAGGCCCAAAGCTGTTGCTCGGAAGAGATAAGAAACCAAGATGCTTTCTTGGTTCGAGGGTGAGAACTGTTCGACCATACAGGCCCGTGGACTGACTTCCTATTTGCAGCTTCAGCAGGCAGACTCCCTTGTTTTGAAGTTCCTTTTGAGATATGTTTTCTTGCCATGACCTTAGAAAATTGCAAGAACAATGGATAGTGAAAATAATTTTTTATTAATTATTTCGCAGCAGTAAGCAAGGGAAAACACTAATATCACATCTTCTATGGCACTAGATTATTGTTAAGATGAAAGTATGATAAGTATAATATCTGTCTGAATAACCTGAATAAATAAATAATTATTTTTATATGTAATGAAATCATAAAATGTGTGAACTTTACATAGTAATCTCAATACTTGTCCATCAGCATCATATGTTCAAGGCATTTCCCTGCATCACATTCTGCCACATTTGTTTGAGAAATATAATGAAAGTGAAATTAAATATGTAGTTAAGTTCTTATAAGATATAGAAGTGGATCATGATTAGGCCCCTTTTAAAAAACAACTGGTCATTGTGTTTGGGTATGGAAACAGATCCTGAATAAAAATAGTTTAACATTGCAAGTGTTATTCCCAGAACAAATTTAAATGGTACGCTGGGACTTTAGGTTTTTTAAGCCTGCAGAGTAAAACTCAAAATAACTCTTATTTAGTTTTCTAAACCATAATATGGTTCGAGCTAAATTGGCCGTCAACTTGAGGGGTTCCCCTCTATTAAAACAAAGCATCACAGTTTGGATAATCTTTACTGTTCAAACCTGGTTTCCTCAATTTCAGCCTCCCGTTCCTCCTGCAGAAGCTCGAGCGTTTTGGAAACAAATTTTTCCACCGCCATCACTCTAAATAGAAAAAGAACTTATTCATTTTACAAAAAGATATAGACCTGTTCATTTTATTCACCATTTCTGAAACCTTGTGAAACAAAGTAATGGCTTTAAATCAAGTAGAATAAACTCCTTACTTACTTTAATTTTATTATATTTTTACCTTTATCTAAAAATACTTCTTTAATTTAGTTTACTATAGCTATGCAGGTTCAACAACTACACACAATGCATTAAAAATAACTGATACAATTTAATATTAATACGTGCTTTTGCATAGGGATCATTTTCAAATACTTCTTCTCCTGCGGTTTCTGCACAAACCATTGGTATTCCACATGTTTTATCATGACGTTCAGTCATGGTACATTAGGAAAATAAGCAGTTAAAAGCTTTGGACTGTCAGTTAAGGCGTAAATCAGCTCAGTGACTGAATGAGGGTTCAAAGCTAACAAAATGTTAGCTAACAACACTAAACTCTGCGACAGGCCGAATAACACACTTACCTAAATGACTTGGTAACGTAAACAGCGCAGGACACAGAAAATAAACCTAATGTTGGTTAGAGACTCCTGTGACATTGCACCTTTCATTACATTATTACACTGTTAGAAGTGCTCGACTTCTGATGTTTTTATTTTTGTAGCCATCCGGTTAGCGCGGCGGCCACACCGCCACCTATCGGTGTGGATGACCCCGTTTTTCCCTCGCCCAGTAACTATCTTAATTTTGAAAACACCAAATGCGGAAGTTACCCATCTTAGCAGACTAACAGGTTGAGGTACGTTATCTGCCTAATAACCTTTAAACAGCGGTAAAGGTAGGTTGTCGGCCGTTCGCGTATTCTGCATGTTTTAGCAGAAGTGACAGGAGCTGGTTCTCTCGACCTCCGTGTACCGTGACATTTCTGAGGATATGCATGATTTGAATCAGCCACATCTCAGTCAGGAAGGAGAGAGACACAAACCTGCAGACCTGAGCGGGACAGTTTTCATTTAACTGCAGGCGTTCGCCGACTTTCTTTCGGAAATGAAAGGGACGTTGTTAGTGCTGTGTGCCGCCTCGTGCTGCTGGCTGGCCGAAGCCACTCTTTCGAAAACGGACGCAAAGAAGCCCCACAAAGCCGAGGCTGAGGTGAGTAGGTGCCCGTCCATCCGAGCCTGTGCCCTCCCAGCGCCGCACAGGAATCCCGACCGGCTTTAGAACTTCTCCCCTCCGTGTGCTGCTGTCCAGGCGTCCCCGGCCGAGCTGCCCGTGACGGACAGAGGTCTTGTTGTGTCTGACCTGCACTGGAAAGACGTCGTGAGGGAGGAGAAGAGACACTGTGCTCACATCAAGAAGACGTTTCCTGGACCAGTGCTCGGATATGTCACACCTGTAAGTCCAGAGTTTTTCCCACACTGAAAACCTCCCCTCAGGAACAGTGGTGCCCATATTAAAGCAGCAGCAGCTCCTTCCTCCTTCAAACTGGCCCTCAAACATCAAACCTCTGACTTATCCTGTAATCTCTTGTGTTTGTTTTCCCGTCTTGCAGTGGAATTCTCACGGCTATGACGTTGCCAAGGTGTTTGGCCCTAAACTCACGGCGGTGTCTCCAGTGTGGCTCCAGCTCCGCAGAAGAGCACCTGAAACCTTTGACGTGACGGGACTCCACGATCACGACCCCGGTACAGGAGCCTTCTGCACGGGCTGTCCAGTGAGAGGTTCTCCTTTTGTTATGCATGAGATTAAGTGACCCTTTTGTTGTTTTAGGATGGGTTAAAGCTGTGCGCAAGTCAAACAAGAAAGTCAGAATGGGTAAGTAGGTATAATAATAGGTATTATATGCTGAAGTGAGTCGGGGTCTGTTGCCTCGGATCAGAAGGTTGCTTCATCTCTTTCTCACCACCAGTGCCTCGGCTGTTGTTTGACGGCTGGTCCTACCAGGACTACATGAGCGTTATGGGAAGTGAAGATGAAATTGAGGAGCTTGCCAGTGAGCTGGTGGACGTAGCTAAGGTGATTAAATTGCACGTTTGAGTCTTCTCCGCCTGTTTTTTGTTTTTTTCTGATGGAAATACTGTGGACTTTCAGACTGAAGGCTTTGATGGCTTCACCTTGGAGCTTTGGAGCCAATTAGGAGGTAACAAAAGAAAGTGAGTCACACTGTTTAGACCTGAAGAAGAAATCAGGTCTTTATTTGTGATTTTTAAAATTTTATATATTCTTTTTATTTCAAATGCAGGGAGCTGGTCCATTTGGTCAAACATGTATGTGAGACTCTAACATCTAAGAGATTAGAGTGCATCCTTGTTATTCCACCAGCTGTGACAAGGTGAGGGAAACCCTTAAATGTATAGCAAAAAAACAACAACACTAATAATGGTGCTGAATGTATGTTTTTTTTTTTAACATTATAATCATCAGTACTGGACAGCCAGGGATGTTTGGCAGGGAGGAGTTTGAGCAGCTGGCCCCTGTTGTTGACGGATTCAGCCTCATGACATACGACTACTCCAGCGGTGCCAGGTGAGGGCAGAAGCTCCAGGGTTCTCTTAAAAGTTGAGGCAAGAAATGTTGGATGATTCAAATAGAGCTTTGACTGAAGAAAATTCCCGGCATCCAAAAATCTCCTGAGCTTTACTGTTCCTTATTGTTTGACTAGGCCGGGGCCCAGCTCTCCTCTGCCCTGGGTCAGGGACTGTGTCCTCCAGCTGGCTCCCAACACTCAGTGGAGGCAAAAGATTCTGCTTGGACTCAATTTGTATGGTATTGACTTTGCAAGTCAGGAAACGGAGCCAGTTCTTGGGGCAAGGTAAAATAAAACTTTGACTACTTTGGAACTTTCTTTTTAAGCTGCTGAAATCTTTTTTTCTGTTGGAGTCCAGACAATAAGAATAAATCAACATAGTGGGGACTGCTCCTAGGCTCTTCTTATTTAGTATCCTCTTTGTCAAAACCTGGTGCCCACATCACATCAATGGGTGACATAATAATTTTTGTCAGTCCACCTAAGCTTTATATATAAACTTTTTTTGGCATATGTAGTTGTGCTCCCTGTAAATATGTATAAATCACTGCTCTCCATCTGTCAGCAGAGCTTGAAGGACTTGAACACTCTCCACTTGTCTGTGATTTCCTGCAGGTACATTGAAATGTTACGAGAACAGAGGCCAAAGATACTTTGGGATGAATATTCTGGAGAGCATTATTTCAGTTACAAAAGGTATGCTTTACATAACACATTAAACTAGCTACGTCTGGCTTATGAATGGCTCCTCTTAGCAAAGATCTCTTGTTTTTCATGTCAGGAACAATGCAGTGAAGCATGTGGTGTATTACCCATCATTAAAGGTAAAATCTTTTTTATTTTTACTGTAGTTTAGTTTTACCTCGGGGGGTTATGAGATAATTAATGATGTTCTACTTATGTTGCAGTCAATCCACCTGAGGGTCTCTTTAGCTACTGAACTGGGAACAGGAATTTCCTTATGGGAACTTGGACAAGGACTGGATTATTTCTATGATCTTCTGTGAGAGCTGGACTTCTTGTTGAAGATTGTGAAGGCCGTCTGATTTATGTTCTTTTTTTTTTTTTTAAACTAAGAAGACTCTGAAATGAAGCATTGCCAGAATTTAGTTAATGTTCAACCTGTTCTAGAGGTCATGACAGCAGCTGGGGTTTGTTGCTCTCTAAAGGTACTTGAAACAAACTATGTGTAATTAAGTGTATTTTATTTCTTTAATGATGTTTCATCAGAGCACAGAAACACATCAGCATTCACCAACATCAGGTGCATGATCATCAACACATCAGCTTAAACTGAAACTGCTCCCAGGACTTCAGAGTTTATGAGAAATAGATGCTTCCAGAATTTCACAGAAATCATCTGTATTTACCAAGAGCCATCCACTATTCATATGAAAAGACAACAACCTTAGATTGCTTGGCTTTGATTTAATTGACAACATTATTGAGCAGTTGAAACTGTGCCAAACATCTGCGTCAGCCATCTTGTTCAAAATAAATGTTTGATTCCATTGGTATAGATGTGGGATGGTGTTTATTTGGCACTACAAAGCAGAATTAGATTATTTACAGCAAGTGATGTGGACTGAATATTTTGTCCAGTTATTAGGTGTCTGTCTACGACTACGTGCACAGCGTCTTCTTGACTTGCTGCAAAAAGATAAATATAAGACAGCTTTAGAAAACAAGAATTGTGTTAATTTCCTGTGTGTTCTATGGTGGGCTCACCTGTGTATGATCCACCACTGTCCTTTACAAAGTCTTCCACAATCAGAGGCAGGTTGGCAAAGTCGGGATCCCGCACCAGTTCAAACACTGATGGCTTTAGAAAGAAAAAAACAGTTCCAGTTATTGGGTACAGTGAACAAACCCAAATGTCTTTGACTCCCAGTGATGTTTGAAGACTACTAACCCCTGTTAAACTGTAACCGCTGAAGATCCACCTCTGCTCTTCAGTGGCACAACACAGAGCTGAAACTCCCTGTCCCACGGCACACAAAGGCTCTGCAGAGATTAAACCAACACCATGTACTCATGTTGCAACAAAAGACAAAATATTTGAAATGGCGCTTTAAACTCACTTTGCTGAGAGATGAATTGTGTGAGAATGCGGTGCAGAGAGCCACTGTGTGCCAGGTCGTTCAGTGCACCGGGGCAGTCCGGGATGAGCAGAGCCTGGTATCTGGCACCTTAAAAAAAGTTTGTCATGATGTAACACATAGTTCAACAGACAGCAGCAGCAGAAATATCTATATGCCAATCAAATGAGTGTCCCTACCGTCTATAGATTCCAGTTTGGCCGGTGTTGCGTAGGATTTCAGACTGAAGTCCTGCACCCATCTGGCTGTGCTATCATCAACTCCTACAAAGTCTATTGGCTTCCCCTGCCAGTCAAAGGAATACAGTAGAAATAAAGGGTGCAAATTTGGACATACTTCTTAAATAATCTTCAAATATTTGTATGTCTCAGTCCAGTGTTCAGCTGTTCTGTCAGCAGAGACCTGCAGATAAGAAAGATGTTTGTGTGATTTCTAACATTTAGATGTTAAGATTTTAGGATTTTAGGTGTCTTTGTGGTGATGAGGTCTTAGACCTGCACCAGACAAAAGGTTTTCATTGATAGTCAAACAGTTTAGTCATAGTAGTCGTTTTAAAATTCTAAACATGCCCTTCTGTTTCTCTATTTTTCTAAGTAAATACCGTTTTTTCAGCCTTCATACAGTGGTTCAACAGACATGCAAAATCCGGAATTGATAGGTACTGCATTTATAGTATATTAACGTATTTTATACATTTACTGTTGATATTCTGTCACTAAACTGGAAGAACACGAGCAGGACAATAACAAAGAAACGAAAACGAAAAAACAATTAAAGCAACACATTCTAATTGTCTTTTCATTTAGTTACCATGGACACCACCTCACCGGACCACTGCCTAACGTGTTGCTGATGCCACACTTTTCTTACCCCGGGTGTTGCGGTCTGCAGATTAAACGCTGTGCTACACAGACTGAAGCACTGAAGAAAAGATTTCGCCGACACTCCTAAATGAATAAAACACATCCGCATACATCGTTTGGTTTAGTAAAGGTTTAAACTGTAAGCTAGTGTGTGCTCCAATGATGCCGTTAACAGCATCAAACGTGACAGGATGAAATGTCAGAACATATCAGAGCTGCTAGTGACTTACCTTGAGGAGCAGCACTCGCCACAATCAAACAGGTTGGCTTGGCCGACATTTCATTAATCTTTGTTTGAAAGAATGTTGGCGAAACGGAGCGATGCGGAAGTGGAGTCAGCTGACAACAACATCCGCTTCAGTCCCTTCAGTACAAAAGCTCACATATCTGAGGCGTTCTTTGGGAATGACATGAAAATCTTTTATTTGCTCCCCAACAAACATAGCTTTGATATTCATTATAACCTTGCAAAATGTGTTATGGTACAGGGGGAAAAAAACACCCAACTCAGAACTGGTGCAGAATCCACAATAAGGTCACGTTTGTCATCTCTCTTTCTGTGCATGTGTTAGAAATACATTTGTTGTTTGGAAGATATATATACTCCTTCATTGGAATTTTGTAGTGCTGTCCTGCAGCATTTTGGTGACTGTCACATTCATTTCATAAGTCGGTTTGATAACACAACCAAACTTCAAATAGAGGAAAAAAATGATTGAGTCCAAAATTAGTATGGATCGTCTTTTAGGTTCCGATAAAGGCAGCAAGTGAACATCATCCCCACAAGCTGAAAGAAAATAGAAACAAGGGACTTGTCAGTTTTCACAAAAACATCTTTCATGCACATATTTTCTCTCAAAAACTAGACTAGATGTTCATATTTTCTGTGTTATTCATCGGTTATAACTTTACCTGTAGAAAAGCTATTCCAATGCCTACTGATCCAAGAATATATAACTGACTCCGGATGAATTCTTCTAATCTCATGATACAACCTCCCTGAAGGCACAGTGCAGAGGGTGAGTTAAAAATCTTGTTGTACTGTGACATTTTTAGATATCCAGACTCAATAGAGAGCTTCTCTTACCTCCACCTTGTAGATGTTTGAGGGATGGTCCCTGTGGCCACAAAGTTCACTTGGAGTTTTACAGCAGCTATCAGGTACGAGCCGGTCATTCCCTGCTCCCTGGATCCACACACTTTCTGACCAGTCTGAGGAATTGTAGCTTCCGCAACACTTAAACTGAGGAGAAAGCAGAACAAGGAGGGAAAGGATAGAAAAGATTATTCATATTTGCAAGCAAAAGGCTTGAGAGGTTCAAATTGATGATGTTTACTCCTTTCCATATCAACCATCTCCGTAAAAATCAAACATCATTGTTTCACACCTCCTGCTGTAGCTTGTCCACAGCCTGTGTGATGCTTTCCTCTCCCAGCTGCTGGTATTTCTGCTGCATGGTCACCTGCAGGTTCTGTCTGAGCTCCTCATCCAGCTGTGAGGCAAAAGATGCACTTTAGAACAGGGGAAGCAAATCTGGCAGTGGCACATCTCCTCCCATAAATAAAAATAGCCCCTGGTCAAGTTTCACTCCTTCCCTGTAACATTCCAGTCTACCTGAGCGATGAGCAGGCATAACTCAAAGTATATGAGCACATATTTGTGACCTGAGTTTCTGACCTGAGGTTCACAAGAGCATTCTTTAAATTCATTTGTCAACAGATTTTTTTTTTTGCTTTACTTTCAAGGTGCAAAAAAGGCCTCAAACTTTACACAACCTGTTAGAGAAACAAATGCGACAGAAACACAGAGCAAGAGATTACCTGGTGGCAGAAAGGGAAACACTGGAGCAAGAAAAAAGGAGGAAGAAGGAGAAGTGTGAGAAGGATGGAAAAACAGGAAAATGTATAACATACATAAAGGACATGCAAAGAAAATCTCACAGTACAGAGCAGCCCCTTGGAATAGTACTGTTAGATTTTGAATAAGACAGATAGAAAAGTGGGAGTTTGTCTTCACATGGGGTGAAAATGGAAAAAAGGAAACACAAGCGGATGAATAGATCAGACTGTAATGGCAGAATTTACATTTTACATATGAAACCAGAAGCTTATGCTGTATTTAAAATGGAAACTATGTTGAGTTTGACCACTATCAGTTACTATGCTGTATTTCATATAAATCTGAAGGCAATGCTACTCACTTCATGGTAGTTTATGAAAGCCAGTACACCAGCGATGATTTCCACCAGGAAAATACAGAATAACAAAACCAAATACTGGGGAAGAAAGACACAAAAAGAAACAGATATAAATAAATAAGCTTGAGTTAAAAATTCCGCAGATTTACCTTTCTCGTGACTGCCTTTCTAACACAAGTAAATTCATGGCAAATGTTGCTTGGCTGACTGTGGACATATAAAGATTAAGAAAAGTTTGCTTTTGACTGACGTCCTCTCACTGAGTGTCTGCTCGCTTTCACTCTCCACAGTCCAAGCAGCCGTTTGCGATGCCTCTCATTCCTCTGACATTAGCCAGACTCTAAATCTAAACTCTTAAGATACACCCTGCATGAATTTATCTGTTATATCTGACACACACGTCTGGCACTGTGAGCTGCGCTGACTGCAGGCGGACTGGACAGAAGGTCACGGAGGATTAACTTTCAATGTATTACTCAGGCTCAGCGGTGTGAGTATAAACAGGAACTTAAAGCTGTCTCATTTAACATAAAAACAGAAACTTTGTTGCTGTTTTTGTAAAAGCAGGCAGTATTTTGTGGGACTGATAGACTCACCACAATCAACAGACTCCTCCTCTCCTTCAGAGTGGCGCAGCACCCCACTATTCCCGTCAGAATCACGATGACTCCGGCAGCTATGAGGATGTAAACCGAGGCTGAATAGAGGCTGGAGTTGAGTAAACTGATGTAGTCAGTCTTTTCCACGAGGGTCCACACTCCCACCGCCAACACAGCCCCTCCTGCCAGCTGACACAATGCTCCTCAATCAGCTCAACTCAAACCAGATGCTTGGATGAATGCTTCTCATCATTATTGGCAAAAAATATGATGCAAACAGGCTGATACCTGTGAGCCTCAAGAGACATGTGAGTTTGTTTTCATTTTGTGATGCATGCAAAGCTCTAAGAGCATATTCTGTGGTCATAAAAAAATATTTCTATCCTTAAAGCCTAAAGGACATGAAAGTTAATAAAGAAAAGGAAAATACAAAAACAAAGCAGCGGTCATTGGAACCCCTATAAGAGCTTCCTTTTTCTTTTCTAATTGTGTCTCAGTCTTTGTACGTCTTTGTGTGCTTACCCAGAAAAGAGTGTTAAAGAGAAAAAGTAGATATTTCAGACAAATTGTCCCACAGGTGTGAGTTTTTTCCCCTTGAGCTTCCATTCTGAAAATGGATAAATCGGTGATCTGTAAACAAGCACAGGAAACATCACTAAGCAGTAAAGATCCAAAAGGCCTCTGTTAAAGCGATTTGGGGGGCAGCTGAGGAGAGTAAACATGAGATGCAGGTCACAGCTCCTAAAGCTGTTGTTATTGTGGTCACAGTATTTTTATCATCTGTCTTTCTTCCTCTATCTGTGCATGAAGTCCAGCAAAAGCCATATTTGTGCTCTGGTTGTTTCTAGTTGGTTGCAATTTACATTTGACATATCCTCATTTCAGTTCCTAGTGTGATGTGATTTACAGGTGGAGCTCTGCTGGAGTAAATGTGAGTAGTTTTACCACAAGTCAGATTTGCTGCTTGAAATTCAGTGGATTGAAATGCGAATGTGTTTCTCAGAGTAATCTCAGAGTAATGGAGAGAGCTCCCAGATGAAATCAAATATGTTGTGGGCAAAAGGTACTTAACGACTTGTGTCACATGTCACCCAGTAGGCAGACTGATGTCGCCCATCTTTGTAACTTAAGCTGATTCTTTCAGTCTTCACTGAGGCACTGTTGATTTTTTACTATTGGTTCATTGTTTAGGCTGCTTGGTTTTATGCAAAACTAAACTTTTCTCAGATTCTATTTTGAGAGAACGTGTGACTGTGAGCATCACGGGCGATCTTGTTTTTTTTATTTTCAGCCATGGCTGAATATCTCAAAGACAGACATTGGAAACAGATGAACGCGATGTCAGATCTGTTTACAATTAAACTGTTAGGATAAAAAAGATAAGCCTGGCTTAAAACAACAGTCCTAACTCTCACATTCAGTTATTTTTAACTTATTGTGTCATGGAAAAACTGCTGTCCCTTCTTGTTGAGACCAAAATACTCCTACCTGATTTTAGATGTTGGACCTCAGTTGGATGGTGATTATCGGCGTAAGGTCTCCTCAGATCCCACTAACCCTAGTGTCCCTGTGCTGCTGTGTGTGAAGGTGAACTGGAACAGTGTGCGTTCTCAGTTGACAGTTAGACCCGAGCCTCCTACTCGAGCGTCTGTCCTCTTTTGGTTCAACAGGCATCTCGCCCCTTCACAATCTAACCAGAGTACTTGTCTGCCCCCATCTGGTTTTATATTAACATGAACTTCACTGGCTTTAGCACAGTGTTCCAGTTATTTTAAAAAAATAGTCCACAAAACCAACCAGTGATTTTTCCACTATTTTATTGGGACATATTAGAGACACATAATCATGAAATAGTGGAACAATAAAAATACCATTTAGCAAACGTCTTCATAGACAATGCAACTGTTTTTGTGTTGGGAGGAGTAACCTTGGGAATGCACTTGACCATAGCCTGCCATATTTCAGTAACAGATTTCAGATTTCCATGAGCATGCCCTCTACTTTTTACTAAAGGCACAGCAGCCATTTTTGCCAGTGTCCTCAGTCAGTAAAACTGCGTCTTCACATTGCTGATCATGTCTGGTGAGCAACACCCTACAATAGAGGAAAGTTTAAGAAAAAAATACAAACCGAAAAACACATTCCAATCCATCATCAAATCATAAAATATATGAGGAATGATAACATCTACTCAACATGATTAACAAGAACTTCACATAAATATTATTAAGAACTTAGTATGAGAAATTATGCTTGATGTCATGTAAGAGTTTAGTTAAATCAACACTTCTCCATAGTAGCCACTAAAACTGACCATTAAAACCTGTAGTAAAATAGGATTTAATGAAGAACTGTTGTATTGTTACATTTGCATTAACCAGAAGAAACATGAACAACATGAGAAGATGAAATAAGACAATATACAGCCAATTCTAACATTCTACAGAGACAACATGATGAGTAAGTTGTTCAATTAGATTGCAATTATATTAGTATTAGTTTATTAGTATGAATGGTATAGGACTGCTATATCATACCGGGCCAGGTGAGTCATCAGCTCATCCACGTTATGCCTGGTCTTGGCACTGCACTCATGAAACAAAGCCTGGTACTGCTGTAGATGTCAAAATGAGAAAGTAAAGCTCATATTCACGCCATTTTTAACTTTAAACCCGCATTTACTAAAAACAATTCTTTCTTTGAGCGGCAGCTTTGAGTGAATCACTGCAGAAAGTAGTTTGAATATTCAAATGGAACTCACCACTGCCAACCTCTGACCCTCTGTTGTCGCCACTTTCCTGCCGTGATTGTCTGCCAAGTCCAGTTTGTTACCCAGTAGCATCAGCACAGTACTTTCACCCATCTTTTTCTGGGACAGACACATGGCAGGTGGTGTTTATGAACTTTTTACCGTTCAAACCACAGTGGGGACTAGTGTGATCGCATGTCTGCTAAAATAAATATAAAAACCCCAAAATAGAAAGAACCATCTGAATTTAGAATAAATTTCAAATATTAGCATCAAGACAATCATAGCAGACACAGGTCTGCTATGATTCTTTCAATATTCTTCCCTCAACAGCCTAACCCCTTACCTATTCAAATGACTGTTTTGCATGCGTTTACATCCAACCATCTATCATAACTCCACTGACTCACTTTCACAGAGTCCATCCACCCTCTTATCGCTGTAAAGGAGGTGGGGTGAGTTATGTCATACATGGCAAGGATGCCATCGGCCTTTCTGTAGTATTGTGCAGTGATGCTGCGAAACCTGATAGAAATTAAATTAAATCACTGGGAGGGTTAATATTTTTTTAAAATTGAAAGAACAACAAGTGTAATGATCAATAGATTCTGCAGAACAAAGTCACACATCTGACCTCTCTTGCCCCGCAGTGTCCCAGAGCTGCATGGTGATCGTTGTTGAGTTCAAAGTTAAAGTCTTCATCTGGAAATCTATGCCTGCAAAACAACAAAGTTCAGTGGTTTCCCTTTTGACTTTATAACTGCACACTCCAAAAAGAAAAGTACACCTTTGAAGTTTTGCATTACAGCTTTAGGAGATGCATAAAAGAAAAACTCCAGTTTGAAGGAAAATACTAATCATAATTTTGTCAAGTGTGACTGATTCCAAGTCTTTCCCATCTTTGGCTCTGGCCATTCGTGCACTGAGTTTTTCTAAATCCTCCCATAATCTCTCTTCTTGTGGTTTGAAACCATTCACAGAGTGTTGACTCTTCAGCCAAAATGTTTGAGCTTTTATTGAGTTCTTCTGTTCCAGTCATCCACTATTATATCTACACGGTCCTTGTCCCACTCCAGTCTCTTCTCAGTTTCTCTCTGGAAACTCATCTGTGGGCCTTTGATGTTGACTCCTGAATGAATCTTGTAAACTTGCGCTGTCAGACAGACTACACACACTTAGCCTCTGCATGGGGAAGTAACCCGAGGCCTCCCACTGGGGGGCAGGTCAGAACGCGCCCCAGTGAGGTGACCTTACTTACTCCAAGAAAGATATTGCAGTAAGTCAGTACTTAATTCAATAACAGGTATTACACACCAAGGGCTGGAGGCTGGTGTGAAGAGTTACTGATGTCATGTCCGAATGATTCGGTCCTATGTTTGAAAATATCTCAAACATGTATTCCTGCATTCTTTGACACTACTGCAAATAAACTTGAGTCACAGAGCTGTGCCGTAAAGCTGGGTGTATTTTAAGTGTACTTGAACCTTTGAAGGGTATTGTATGTGCAACTATACGGTACCAGTTACAAGTTAGAAGAGGATGATAATCATAGAAGGGCTTACCAACTGTGGAGCTCATTTTATTGTAGAAGTGGCCCGTGCAGTAGTGCTGGATAAAGGAGCTCTTACCTACTCCTGAATTACCCAAAAATACCACCTTGAACACTCGCTGTGGACAGATAGGTTTGCTCTAAAATTAAAAATGGACCAATGTCATTTCATTTCTGTAAATGGGTCAACATTTTTGACAAATGTGTGTATGATGTCATGATTGCTCTTTTTTGCATTTGCCAGTGCTTTAAGAAATTGATCATTATGGAAAGTATTTTGTCTATATGCTGATCAAACCATGGTCCCTACCTGAGTGAGTGTCTGTTCAACATTTTCTCCCCTGACTCTACAACAGGGCTGGCATGCCCGCGAGGAATCTGTCACCTCAGTGTTTTTGTCCAGCTCCAACTCATCAGCAGAGCTCAGCTCTCTTCAAATAAAATGAATAAAAAAATAGCATTAAAAAAGATGAATGCTTTCAGTGGCAGTCTACATCATGAGTATAGAAAAACAACAAATGCAGGCATAGGATCATACAAACCTTGTCTCTGGCTTGTTGTGCTGTAAGTAGTTACCTATGATTGACCCTTTCTTCAGCAAAGGCTTTGTCATGTTTGGACTCTAAAAGGTTTGTGTGGAAATTAAGGTGAAATATATGAGTAAAATTAAGATTTTACAGTTGTTTTCAATGTGATAAAAAAGCCTCACGGTGGTACCCGATAGATGCAAAAGCACCAATACAAATGATTTAAAAGGCAGAGCTGATGTTCAAATGTGACATTTATTCTGCTGAAAAGCAGTTTAACATCACAATCATTTTCAACACTTTTTTTGTTGATGGGGAAAAAAACAAGAAATATCCAACAGGTATTTTTTATGGGACAGTTAACTGTTTAATGAATACTGAACTTATTTAGATTTGTTCAAAAGTAATATATGTTAGACTGAACATTTAAAATGTTACCATTGAGACTAAAATAGTTTTAATTTTCTCCTGGACTGTTGGGAAATGATAGAATGATGGTAAAGTAGTCAGGTGTCATTCACTTGGTAAATACTGACCCTTTATTGACCTATTTCAGTTCACTGGCATAAATGCTGTATTTTACAATTCTTCAAATGAACATATAAAATCACACTTTTTACTTTAAGTTATCACAGGACATCGAAAAAAGCCTGGTCTGCAAAATCCCTCACATCTGCAGCCACAGCAACACCCAAAAGACGCTGAAGTTTGAAAATAATTAATTGATAAGCCAACAATTGCTGCTGCACACATAAATAATGATTATCCAGAGGATGGCAGAAACATGGCGCCTTCCAAGACTTAGGGTGGGTAGACCTGCCGGGTCCATGGAGTACAAAGGTCCTCATTGAGGTAATGAGTTAATGGGGAAGGAGGAACAACAGGGTGTCTGTGACTGACCCTCCTCTGTGTTTGTCGAGCATCTCCTTCATCTCGCAGCATTCTGTTCATATCCCTGATGCAGGACACAGAAGAAATCTGTTCAGAGACATTCTCACACTTCCTGATCTTTCTGTGAAAAGGTGAGTGGTAACTACTCAGAGAACTGAGGTTGCCAAAAAACAGAAACCTCAATTATCAGCAAACGTACACACAAAACCACCAGAGTCTCAGTCCCATGCATTTGTGGAGGGTGCAGAAAGTGTCTGTTAATCGTGAATACCAACACAATTCTTTGTCTTTATTTCTATGCGATATTACATTTCCCTTCCCAGGAAGAACCAGTAGCCTTTACAGTAAATGGGTATTTTGCCTGACATCTAAATCCAAACATTACTATCAAAATGGTGTTCACTAAAAAGCAGTTGATTAAATTTTACAAGTCAAGCATAAGTGGCACCAATTCTCACTTCAAGTGTCAGTCAAAACTCGAACAGTGTTTTTGCATTATAATTGAGGTAAAAGGAATGAGCCAATTGGCCTTCAGGCAACACATGTGACCAGCCGAAATATATGCTGGCCTTTATGTACATTTTTAAATATATAAATGCTGCTTGTGCAGATAACACACAAAAGGAATCTTCCAAAGAACAGAATGGGAATAACAAACAGTGCCTGTGTAAACATACCTTAATATTTCCAGCTGCCTAAAGAGGCTGTCCTTCTCCTTCTTGATGTTGCACGACACCCTCAATGCATTTCTAAAGTGAGCCGGGAAAAAAAAAAGCCTCAATGTGGCGTTTGTTCAGGATTTTCCCAACAAAGTCAGCTGATGAGCTGGAAGCTGTTGTTGTGCATCTGCAGCCTGATGAGTGTCGCTGTGTTGACAGGGCTCCAGGCGCAGGGCAAAACATTAAGCAGTTTCCAACTTTTTTTTACGGCTGAATCCCTGACGTTTGCCCTCAGCTGCTGCTGGCTGCTCACCTCTGCTTGGCCATTTGCTCCTGGGCCGCGCTGGCCTGCAGCAGGTTCAGCTGACCCACGGCAGCCTGCAGCCGCTCTCTGCTGCCCTCCACCTGCTCCTGTAACTGCGTGTTCAGGCTCCGCAGCTGCTGGTTCTGCTTGGTGATGTTGGCTCGCTCGCAGCTCAGCTGGCGGATTTTGGTCTCAAGCTGAAGACGAACACAGGCCCCGTCAACCTTAAACTCCGTCTGCTGTCAGAAACGACTTTAGAAATGATGCTTGGACCAGCCACCTCTTTCTGTCTGGCCAGCGCATTCTCGAGCTCCTGCTCCCGCATGCGCAGCTCCTCCTCAAGTTGCTGGCCTCGCTGCTTTTCTTTAAAACTCTCCTTAGTTTCACAATAAGAATAAAATGTCAGAAACGATCTCCCTAACTAAATGAACACAACAGCCACACCAACTGGCACACCTCTGTACCTGAGCCAGCCGTTTCTCCCTCTCCTCTCTGACTTGGGTTTCCATTTCTTCATAAATGGATCGAACCATCTGGTCATGTTCACTTTCCCGCCTAGTACAAACAAACAATAACACGAATGCAAAGTGAACCACGTTCAAACCTTAACAGGATCCAGAGACTTCAGGCTGAGCTGAGGAGAGCCGGAGGAGCGTGATGAAGCGGCTACCTGCGCAGAGCTTGCTCCAGACTGTCTCTTTCTCGGATGGTGTCCTGTAGGTGGGACACTGCTTGGACCAAGATGCCCTCCAGGGAACTCAGCATCTCTGGTTTGTCCGTCTGGAGCTCATGCCATAGGTAGCTGAGCTCCTGCTGACTGCCACATGATACCGAACAAGACACAACAGAAACATGAGAAATCTAAACTCTACAGCCCTGGAACATAACAAGTTTCAAAGAAAAACCTACTGTATTTTTCCCTATATGTGAGAGCTCAATCACTAAGAAATAGAAAACCCAGGAAAAAAGGTACTATTTTAGCAAAGCTGTGGGCTCCAAGATACTGCTGGACTAGCTTCAGTATGTCTGTGAAATTATTCTATGGCTGAAAGTGAAGTATTCTTTTTGTCTTTTAACGACAAATAGCAAGATGTGTTTTTGAAGAGTGCCATCTGAAACAAATGTTTGTGACAAATGACTCATACAATTTCCGTACTCATCAGCCTGCTTCATGTTTTTCAGTCAACCTTCTTGTTGGTAAGAAAAGTTGTGAGCACGATCTTACTCGCTGAAAAGCTTGTCAGCACCGAGCTCCATTAGCATGTTTACAAATCTGACAGACGTGGGGTCCGGGGACCAGTTCACATCAGCCACGCCCTCCTCCGTTTCTTCTGAACTCAGCTCATTTGTTTCCTCCAGCCCCATCAGCTCACCTGCAAATGAGAGAGGAGAAATGAGGAACAAGGTGACGTGTGGAAATGAATTCAGGTTTGTCTGCTATCTCACCAAGTACAGTGTTGAACTCCATCGGAGTGAGGAATCCGTTGCTTTCTCGGTCCAGACTTTCAAAAACCGTCTCAAGCTGGTCAGGAGAAAGAGGCAGCTCCCCCTGAAGCCTCTGGCCAGAGGGAAGGAAAAGTAAGGACCAGCTCGACACTCCAGTGTTAATCTAGCTGTTCTACCACTTTTCTGTGCACCTGCATGTCCCGTTTGGTGATGAACCCTTTCCCCTCTTTGTCACACAGAACAAACAGCTCTCTGGCTTTGCCCATGGTCTCTGCGGGCGGGCTTAACGGTGCAGCGTCTCTGGAGCGCCGTGAACCCAAAGGACTGCGTCCCCGGCACCGCCCGGGGCTCATAGCAGGCATGCCCTGCAGCCGTGGGCTCACCGGCACGGATTCTCCACTGCCTTGACCCTCCAGCACCTCACCATCATTCAGCCACTTGGACATGCCTGCAAGACATGCAGATCTCCAAAGTTTACAGTGCAGCACGAATGAGCTGTAACATTTTCACTGTAAATCAAACACACCCGTCTTCAATAAATCCACTTTCCAGCGATAATAGAATTAATGTCAGGGCATTTCAGGTGTACTATCTTAAATCCTGAAATAAACAGAGAAGCTGGCTGTGGGTGCCTCCCTAGTCAAACATGAGCTGCAGAACAGGCAAACTACGATGACTGTGTGTGTCAACTGTGCACTTTTACTAAATCTGCTGTAATCAGCTGTCAGCCCCCTGCACAAAACAGTTTTATGGATCCAAAGGACGAAAGATTATGTCACTTGATATCATGAGGGATGCGTCAAAAATATCAATCCAAGGTGTGACAGAAACATATGGCTTCATACGGCACAGTCATTGGCCCTCCGTGTTCATTCTGCAGCCCAGGAGCGTAAAGCAGGATGTGTAGAGGGCAAAAACAGGATGAAGTCATATAAGAATGATGCATCCTTGAAGGGGAGGGCACATAGCGATGGGAGAGGCGATGCAAATTAAACATTTGCAGTTGTTTGCTTTGTCAGAGCTTCCACAACTGCAAACAAATGTTTCTCTTAAGTGCTACGGGGCAAGTGTGTCTCGGTATCTCCATGAGGATTTATATAACAGTGATTTTTGACAAATGCATGCAGTCTGTCTTCAAGTTATATGAACTTTACTCACACAAAGCAACAGTATTCCTGAAGGACATATAGTCAGGTTCAGTACTGAATAAAATATTACCTTACCTTTATACTAGATCTCTCTCCAGTCCTGCTATCTATGATGTCATAAATCTGAAAACATGAACTGATGATAACAGTAAATTATCTTGATGAACATCTGGTAAACACTCCAACCTCAGGAACAAGAAAAAACTCCAGATAAAAGACAATAGCAAACAATGTGTGTTAAGGATTTTGTGTATCAGCTGGACCCTCGCGAGCCCACAGCCACACCAAAGGTCAAATAAACTTCAACACACTTAACTCACTATTAAGCCAGCTGGGTATGCAATAAAAAGGAGCTTTAAGGCCGGGGAGTTATTTAAGAGTCAGCGACATGTTGCTGTCTACAAAAAACAAAAAAACAAAAAAAAGCTCAGTCCAACTTTGAATAGTCTAAATTTTAGGCATTTCTGGGAGAGAGAACATATGGTGCGCACAACAGCGTGACCGTCCTGATAAAAACTTAGTTAAACAGGAGTCTGTTTGTGAAAGAAAGATTTGAGATGGGAGCATTAGAATAATTTACGTTAAAAGCAGTCTGACGACTCATTAATTTAAAAGGATGAATTTCATTGCAACGTATCCCAGCTGAGGAAAACACAACCAATAAAATGTAGCAACGGGACACACACCGGTGAAGTGGTGCCCGATACTGCCAGCTATTACCGTGGTTCACAACAGAAAACAAAGACTGACTGAGCATCGATATTCCCAAAAGACGCACAAACCTTGTCAGGCGAAGTTGGAGAAAGTTTTACTTCCCACCTGCTGCGGACAGCTGTACCTTTGATCACTCACCTCGCTTAGCTGACTTAAAATTTTCACATTGGCCGACAGGGGGCGAGCGAGTGTTTCTTTTGCAGGGTGGTTACCGTAATGTCCACCTTGGCCCCGTTATTACGGTAAGAAGCTGCGTTACCATGGAACCACGGAAATACATACGTTACTGCTGAAAAACGCGAGCCGTTCTGGCGGGCAGTATTGTTGGGGAGAGAAAGTGTTGTGATGTTGAATTGGCTGTTTTTTGCGTGGCTCTGAGTGACACGATAAGCTCTTTTTTGGTGAGTAGAAACAGTTTTTTTGTTCCGACTTAAACACTAGTTAGCAAGTTAACGTAGTAAACGTGCCAGGACGGAGTTCAGCGCCGACCGTGATTTGTTGGGGGAAATAAGCCAGTAGTAACTCTACTTTCCGTCTCCCGGTTAATCCACCGTTCAAACTAACCATTGCTAAGAAAAGAAACTGGAGTTCACCACCACGAGAACAAAACTAGAGTGTGTGATGCCCGCCTTAAGTTGAGTGAGGTCAAATCTATAATCCGCGCCTCGACCTTTCCATAGCTGCCTGTGTAACAGCGTGAGCACATTCACCTTACATAGAGGGGTTTACTTCTAATTTAGCTGTCTGAGGCAGAGGATAAGTTACATGAACTGGGGACGGAGCTAAGATGTTCTTCGGTAATGGTGTGGACTTGCCTGACAACGAAACGGTTCTTTCAAAGCTTTTCTCCTCTCTCGCAGATGAAGCAGACAAAGAAAATTTAGCCTCCAGAGATGCCCAAATGCAGCTTTTGACATGCTTCATCCATTTTTGCACTCAGCAGACATGTTTTATGCCTCGGACGACAAACATCATGTTTATCGGCGGACGAACAAACTGGACTGATGGATATACAAAACCGTGAGACCATTTATGGAAAAAGATCCCCCTGCTGCCTGTGAATGGATGGGATATTTTTCTTAAGTATGTGACAGATCAGTTAGATGTGTTCTACCAACAAGTTACTGGATCTATAAATAAAAGAAAAAAAGAAGAAGCTCTGTCCAGCTGTGTGGTCTGCAGATTCCTCCCTGAAGATGCTCCAGACTGGGAACTATTCTCTGGTGCTACTGATCCAGCTGACACTGTTGGCCTATGACCTCTTTGTCAACTCCTTCAGTGAACTTTTGAGGGGAGCCCCTGTCATCCAACTTGTGCTTTTCATGTGAGTCCGGAGAACAGTTTGCTGAAAAGATACAGGACTATTCAGTTATTTATTTCTTTGTTTATTTACGTCATGAAAGACTGCATAATTTTTCTGAATGCATGCTTTTAAAATAGATTTGGAATAGATAAAGTAGATTCAGAGGGCTTCTCCTACACATACTATAAACACAAGGATACTGTTGACAGCTTTTGAAAAAGATGCTTTACATGGTGCTTTTTGCGCAATCAGGGCTTTTTAAATCTGGTCTTAAGTGGAACGGTTCTGCTGCAGATTTTTGGTGCTTGGTAGCAAAACCATGGATTGGAGGATTTTTATCTAACTGAAGTGTTTAAGTAAACCAACAAAAAAGAAAATGTGTAAGCACTTAATGTTTATGTAAAGAAATACATTCACTTCTCTAATTTCACTGGAACCATTTCAAGTCTTGAGTGAAACAGTATTACAGCACCGCTTAGTCTTCTTTACCATGCACGTTATACGTTTATGTGAGCAACAAAGATAACTCTCGAAAAGATTTAAGTGGCTTTTTCTTTTGGCAACATAGAAGACAAACACCCCTTCAGAAGTGAGGAGTTGTTGCTCCACCAACACTCCCAGCACATTTCAACCATTTCAGAGTCTCCTCAGTCACAGCTCATTGCAGTTGAACTGTGTTCGCAGCATCCAGGACATCGCCATCCTGTTCAACGTCATCATCATCCTGCTGATGATGTTCAACACCTACGTGTTCCAGGTGGGCCTGGTGTCCCTGCTGCTGGAGAGGTTCAGGGCGCTGCTCCTGTTCGCCGCCCTCTACCTGACGCTCAGCATCTGCTTCCACAGCTGGGTGTTGGTACGTCACACCCTCACATGCGGCACGCTCATGCTACTGATGCCCCGTTATATGTTCAAGGCTCTCCGTTTTTATTTTGGTGCTGTAGAACCTGAGATGGCTGGACTCCAACCGCTTTGTCTGGACGGATGGTCTTCAAGCTCTTTTTGTCTTCCAGAGAACAGGTAAAACATCTGAGTGAACAGCTGGATTTATCAAAAACTATTTGTCTGACAAACACCACTGCTGAAACTTTATCACCTCTTCTGTGTGTTAACAGCGGCTGTGTTGTACTACTACTTATACAAGCGCACGGCGGAGTACATGGGAGACCCCAGGCTTTACGAGGACTCCCTGTGGCTGCGCGATGCTTTCGCCAGGGCCCGTCAGTGAGGGGGAGACTTTTTGGAGAAGTACATGAAATCTGACGTGCCGTAGACTGGGCTGCATCATAAGAAACATTGAATTGTGGAAAGCAGTTTGCCATTGAGCTTCACACAAAAGCAGACTGAAAACTCATGGAACTCCTCAGCAGGCAGCGCACGGTGAAAAGCCTCAGCCATGTTTGTGTTTACTGGCTCTCCACGGACAGCCAGTTAAAGGGTTTACACTGGCAGGTAAGCCAAGGATGGCACATGTAGTATTGTATTAATCAGGATTGAGCCAGTTAATCTGTGGCCTTATACAACAATTTAGACTGCAGACTGATTGCAATTTTTATAAGACAGGACTTTTGACCTTGGTCTTTCCTTTTTTTTTTTGTTATTATTGCTCTGTACCCGTGAGCCGATTTAAGAACTGGGTAGTTCTATGAATGTTAAACACTACTGTGACTCTTCTCCATGGGATCGGTTTTGTTTAGCTATTTTGCCTTATGTAAGGTTAGAATGTGCTACTGACACATTGAAAACTATTTTGAATAAGCCAATTTCTTATGTGAACTCAGTAGGATTTTGTGTGGGTATCTTTGAGTGGTGTTCACTGTTTTTATTAAATAATCCGTCTCCAGCTCCGTTGTAATCCTTCATCAGTAGGGTAGTCTGCATTATCCTGGCGACAAGGTGAGAGAGGCTGCTCTATTTTTAACCCAAAGATTAATCAGGGATTGAGGTTTTAGGTGCCACTAGTAAAACAGACCACAAATAGCCCTCGGCATGACAACATAACTCTCCGTTCTTAGAATGGTTCAGTGCAAGTGCACTTCTGCTCCGGTGTCAACATTTTAACTAAACCGTTAACCCTATATTATAAAATATTCACATTATTTCAGCAATGAGGCTAAACAAACAGAAAACACAGCAGAAGTTGTACAAATCCCCATTTACTAGTGAAATGAAATTCAGTCCATATGATTCCACAACACTGTCAGTGCCATCCAATTAAATGCAAAAATCCTGAACGTGCTACTAGTGATGTCCTTGTGATGTTCCATCGGAATGTGTTATATTCTTTGAATCCAGTTACCTGAAACAGCAGGAAAAAGAAATCGTTAATCACAATGCTTGCCACACAAATTCTGTTGAACCTTTTATTTCAGTTACCTTCAGACATAGATGCCCACCCACAGTAGGAGGAACAGCACACCGAAACCCATGAAAAGTGAAGCCACAAGGGAGATGAGCAGCTCTTTGTAGATGTCTCTTGTGTATTTTGTTGATGTCACCTCATAGCTGACAGAAAGTTGAGGTAAACTCAGATAAATGACAGCAGATAATACCCTCTCCACTCTCATGCCCTTCAGATGTACACCCATTGAACCGTCATGTCTTGTAAAGAACCTGCTGACTGGGGGGTTTCTTTCTGTCTGTTTCAATGTGCTTCAGAAGGAAACTGGTAGTTATGAATTGCCGGCAGGTTTTAATATACGGTACATGCCTATAAAATGAGTGTGTTGTAACACTGTTGTTTTATGGAGACAAAATGCCTGTGTTAAGTAAGTCTTTCATACAGGCTGTACCTGTGACAGCCCCTGAATGTGCAGAAGTGATTTTTTCATTTAAATGGTTTAGTGCCCCCTCTCTCATAATTGGAGTTCCTGTGCACACAGTGAAAGGGGGCCAATTGTAAACATTAAACATACTATG